ACACAATCCTCATCTCTCAGTGTGGTAACTTCTAATAACAATGGAATCACAACGACACAAATAAGCATGAGTTGTGTTTTTATACCTGCTGCATCTCTAATCACAGATTTAGGCCTACCCTCAAAAAAGCTATAAGCAACCCCAGGTGACTGCACAGTACACATTTAACAGAGCAATACGTGTTGTCTAAAAGTTCTCGCAGTCCCAGTTCTTCACAGACTTTCTGACCAGTTTATTGGCATACAGTAGAATATGTATTTCAGCAGTGTCGTGTTAAAAACTTGAACAGTACTGTATGTCCACCTATACAGTTTTTTTGGACTTCTAGGCAAAATATATTTCTTATCTTATCAGTGTGAGGATAGTATATATCTTCCAAAGTTTTCTGGGCTAATATAAAATGGAGTCTATTCAGGATACGAACTGACATTTTCAGAAAAGGTGCAACTGTGCAACTGGTCTCTGCCTTAATTTGAAATTCAGTTTCTATACATTATATATTTACATTATAGAATTTACATTCTCCAAGGGAATCTTCTGGGTGACTCCCAGAGTTACCAATCTGACCAGTCTGAAACCTGAAGTTGATAATTTGACATTTTGTCATGTGAGGCATATATATGTCTTAAGGGCACACCAACCAGAACCCACCACTAACCTTTAAGAAAACAGAAGCCCACTGCCGCAGGGCTGCTTACTTTCTAGACTGTGTCCAATTTCTTAAAATAAGATTGAAGAATTATAGAAAAAATAAAGAAAAGTCAGACCTGAGAAAGAGGACCTAAATCAGCTAGCAGAACAAAAGTGGGGTATGTGATCTCCTACTGATTTGCTTACTTTTGTTCTGTTTCACAGTGTTGATATTTTTTCAACAATAATAGAAAAGGTATTTCTATCCTGACTGTTACTGCAGTAGTATCCAGTGTATTAAAGCATGCTACCCTCAGAGCCAAAAACCTAAAATTGAGTAAATTAGCTTCCTGATGGTAACTCCTAGCTCACATTCCATGCCTAGCTACTGTAAAACAACTCCTATATTTCCTATATACATCCATATTCCTTGGCACATCCTGTGCAGGATCATGTGGATCATCCTTACTGGGATCCCAAGCCTATGGGCTAAGTGAAGTCTTCTTTCCGAGCATTATTCCCTACCTTCCTTGCGAATTGTGGCCTTTGTGACCTCCAGGCTACAGCAGGGATGTTTTTATTCTTACAGGGACTGGTACTGCTCATTTCCTCCAGCCCCACAGCTCTTTTTTCCACTGTCGGATTCCACGGCGGTCACAGATCTCCGCAGCAAAAGCAGGGCTGAAAAGGCGACTATTGTCCAGCATAAAGCATGACTTCATCAGCTTGCCCCCCTAACAAACCGAACAAAGATATTGGGTGTTTTCACGAGCGCTGAAAACATTGCTGGTATCAACAGTGGTTTGAGCTATAGGCAAACGGGGGTACAGAAACTGGTCATGCATGAGGCTGTTACATGTGTCTATCTTCTAATTCCAAGCCAAATTCAGCATTTTATTGCAGTGTGTTCATTAATTAATCAAGAGTATGCTTGTGCAGTCCTGCTTCATCTGCCATTTTCATCTTTGTTTATAAGATTGTGGAGACATTCTGTACTAATTGTCTCAGTTCTCCAGGCCCATTATCCTCAGACAGAAATGAAGTTGTTGTTTTTTTTACAGTATCCATGCCACGCTATGTTTTCAGATACTTTGCGATCTGCTCCTAAAAACGTAGTCCTACAGTATACGTGATTGACCTGCTCTTTCTTGGCTCCTCTCATCGAAGCTGCACACATAATGCCATTTTAGTTTGAAGAAGAAAAAAATTGCAGCTAGCTAAAGTGCTTCAGTATCACTGCTGTTAATGGGTTCTAATGAACCTGATTCAGACGGACTGCAATGAGGATGTGTTTTGAAATACACAGGAGGAAATCTGCGAGCCAATCTAATTAATGACCCCATAATGACCCTCAACCCTGTTGCTTTTCCAGGTTCCTACCTCTAAAGTAGGAACCTTCAGTAAGTGCTCTCCAAATTTTGTACGGACTGGCCTGCGTCTCATTTCCCTTCCCATTTCAGTAGCAATCTAATAAAATAAATGCCACAATTTTCCGGAGGAGTGATGCACAATTCTGCAGATGAAAGCTTTTGCTTGCTTTGTTTTCCGGCCTACTATTTCGACAGCTGGAAGCACATTTTGCTTTTGTTTGATTTCTGTCCCTTCTGTAAATATTCTGCGTTTTCCCAAAAGACACACTTTTTTTTCCCTTCCCGTTTCTTGATTTGCTACAGGCATCACTGTCCCCGAACAGACACAGGCGAGCCCGTTTCACAATTGAATCAGAGGTGACTTCACCATGAGGGATGGATCTCCCTTTTAACACCCTAAATAGGGCCCAGCAGCTTTCTAATTGCCAACAGGACAGGCGTTTCCAGCCCTGTCTTTCTCCTCTCCTTTAAAAGCTCAGACACAGGTAGATTCCAAGCATTCAAAATGATACATGAGCTGATGCACCTGGGCAAAAGTAATTCTATTGGCTTTGTAATTTTATCTAGGTGTCGCATATATACTGTTTTAGGTATATAGATAACACTGTAAAAGGTTCTGTATTTATTTGTGAAAAGAAAAGAAATTCAGACACAGGTAGCTACTTAGACCTAAACTCCAGAACTCCAGAGGCACTTATTAAATATCGTTCACAACTTTAAAAGACCCCCTTTAGTAAGTATCTTCTAAGTCTGTACCTTCCCCTTTGGCTAGGAGAATATCTTTAAAAAAATAACCTTCTGGATATAAGCAGCAGCCTTTTTATAGACCACTAGAATGGCACGGTGTAGCCTAATAGTTGTGGGAAAATAACTGTGAGCTGGCCATTTCTGGCAGAAAAAATGAAAGCTTAACTCGAAGCGACATGTTGGCCGGGAGGGGCAGGCGGAAGCGAGCGGGTTTTTCCCGAGTAAAATAGAAAGTGGGAGAGAGGGAGCCGGTAAGCCGAGTTGGAATGCGAGGCTGTTTATCGGTGCGATGTGAGAGCTGGAGGTTTCAGAGCGGCAGGAATGAGCGCAGTCATCGGCCTGCTGAAACCCGACGCTGCTGGTGATTGCCCGCAGCAGCTGGGCGGCCATCGTATCTGACCCAGCGCTGGCTTTTCCCAGCCCTGCGCTCTCCCCGAGCACATCTTCCAAATCATCCAAGCCCACTCTGTCATTTATTTGCGCCCTCTCGCCTATCAGCTCCTCTGTACCTATTTATTACTATAGACCTGTGGATTTACGAGCCCGCGTCTGTGTCTCTCTAACGCTTTATTTTATTTTATATATAAAGTCCACGGTAACACCTTGCTTACTTAGGTATAGTCACCGATGCAAAACGGGCTTCAGTACCTCAATATTTCTGTAACTTCCGTGCAAACTAAGATTACTCTGCATCAGCACATTACTGAAGAAAGTAAGCAGATGAGACCACTCGCCCATTTAAACTTATTGGACTTTTAGCAGTTAATTGATCTGAGGATCATGACTAACCAGTTCTTTAAAGAAGCCTGGATATCCTTCTTGAAGTCCTCTCTGTTCAAGATCAGTTCTTTTAACCTGTTAGTGCAGGACACTTCCTTTCAGTCTGAGAATGCAGTTGGTTGCTCTTCTCTGGACAGATCCCAGAGCAGAAGTATCTTTCTCTACGTTTGAGCAAAATTATACACAAATTCTACAGGAAGTCTTTTTGTTATGTAGAGTTATTAATTGCATATGTATACTTTATGTTCTTTTTCTGTCTGGTATCATCTGTAAGCTTGACTAGGTGCTAGCTGTACCAGTGTCTAAATCATTGATTCTGTACAAATCATGATGAACAGGGATCCTAAAACAGATACTTGTGGTACTCCACATACAGCAAATTAATGATCAGCTTAGAGACATATCTGCTGTATTAAAAAGGCAAAATCCAAGGTATGGTAATTCCTACCTAAAGCGATGTATTTCTTTTCAATTAACTTTGTTGATGCACTGTTTGGGTGGGTTTCCTCTAAGAGGTGAGGTTTCCGGGTAGGTGAATTGGCTCCTGGGAAAATTGGCCTTAAGGGTGAGTGTGTGTGTATCTGTGTGTGTGCCCCACAAAGTACTGGGGTCCTATCTAGGGTGTACCCTGCCTTGCCTGTGACACTGAATTGGAAGAAATGATTAGAAAATGGATGGCTAATTAGTAAATACATCCATCATTATGATGGATAATTGACTGGCCAGACTGACCTCTTAGTGAGCCCAATAGGATGTACAGTGACATTGACCTAGTCCAGAGATGTTCTCAGAATCTATTGTTGTTTTTATCTGCCCTGTACACACTACAGCAATTAAGAAAGAGCCTACTTATTTTTAGGGAGGCATATGGCGGGCTTCCAGACAACTACTGAAAAAGAAAAGAACACTGCTTCTTTGTCTGTGTTCTTTCTGTGGAATTAAAATCAGATTATGCCATAAAAAGGACCAGACTCTTTAGGCTGATGAGTGGGGCCTTTTTCTCACAGTTTCTGGCGGCCATGTGCTCTTAAATTGAACAACCTGTTTGAATAACACGTTTGGCATTCATGATGTCTTTGGCTTGACTTGGATAAAAGTATTGCTGAACTGTGAAGACATCCCACAGTTTATACAGTAAAAAAGAAACACTTGCTTTTTGTCTTAAGAAACCAGGCACGTTAAGTGTTAAAATCTGCCTTTGTCTGGGTGTTCAGAACAGCAGAAAAGGCTCCTCTCCCAGTCAATTCAGTTTAGAGGTGAAGAGGAACTCAAAGATTAATACCTCAACAAAATTAACCTCTAGAAAACATAGGCACATGCCATGCTGTGGACAATTCGAATGAGGCGAACAATCAACTGTCACAAAGAAAACAAAGAGGAAGAACTAAAAGTGAACTTTCTGGGAAAAGTTCGGAATGTGCTGCACTGGGGGGAAAAAACATTGGAATATTGATTTGAGCTTCATTTCTTTCAAATGCAGCCAGAGGGTGGAACTTAAAATTTCATAATCATTGCCAATGAACAAAAGGACCCTTTAAATTCATTTTTGAGGGACAGAAAGGGAGCAGTTTTTTAAATAGAGACTGCGGGAAGGAACATTCACTGATAACTGAAGTCATGGATCCGGACAAGATGTCCAGCAAATTGTTACTAGAAGTTTGGGAAAAGAATAAAACCACTTCTGTCTGGAAATGGAAACAATTACGATTCCCTCGCAGGCTCCTGTAAGTGACAAGATTTGCTAACAATCTTTTATTTGAGGTAGTTAAAACAGCACAACCGGCTTTGCTTTTCCAAAAATGACCCTTCATTGGAAGGTTCATTTGTTTGCCCTTATCAATTTTCCTTCATCTATATATTTTAATATTTTAGGTCATATTATAGTTTGAGCTGAAATTTAATGAAAGAGGCAAAGTGCAGGACTGGATTGGGACTGAGAATACAGATAAGCAACACTCATGTGTAGCTGTTGAAAAAAGTTTTGCATTTCAGCTGCATGATAACAGAGTAAAAACAATTTGCTCTTTCTTTTTTTTTTAAAAAGCACTCCCAGTCATGAACTTAAATCTGAAACCTTTTCGCCTCTTCCAGAAATAAGTGCATTCCGAACAAAAAACCAGATGGACAGGAACTGTTTGCCTGTCTGAAAAAGGACTGCGAAGGAGAAACAGACACTCTGGTTGTTGCAGGTTACAGTGTGCAGTACAATGTACCTGTATCTGTCACTGACATAGGAGCTTTAGAACTGAAATTCATTTTGTTACTTTCATTATTATTATTATTTTGTTTAGACACCCTTAGCCATATTTGACATTACATACAGATGCAAAAGGAAATAATAGATATGATCACAAGTAGGATCAGGTATAATAAAACTTCGGTTAAGCCAAGGACAGGAATTCCAGTATTGGACGTACAATGCAAGTGTCACCCATAAGCAAAATTCAAAATGAATCTTTTCTACCTTGTCAATATGTTATTAATAAGCTTTCATGAAGGTGAGTCATTTTAAGGATTTGCTGAGTTGTTAAAAAATAGCACAAACCGGTAAACGAGGGCAATTATGGAAACATAATACAAGCTCTGGTGTAGCTGGGTCTAAGAGGGGGTAATAAGAAGAGATCAGCATTTGGAAGGTGCAGAGAGAATAAGATGGCAGTAAATCAGATCCATTCAGGCAGGCAAGGAGAGTGCACAGGAGAGGGGTTGCATGCGAGAAGCAAGGAAGAGAAAATGGTATTGAAATTGAGCTGGAAAGGGTCTGGTCCTTAAAGACGCTCTGCTCAGGCTGCGAGGGAGATATCTGTTTGCAATTTAACAACGGGAAAAAGGGATAACCATATTATCCGTTTAGAACTTCTTCACCACGTCAACACCCTGGAAGAAAATGCTCTTTCGCAGTCAAAAATAAAACGGCCAGCTTTCTTTCTTAGGTTGAACCATTTGAGGAATTTAAAAATTCTGTGCATAAAAAAAAACTCATCTGTTTTAAAATAGCAGTTTTACAGTTGGCGTTCCTGCACCTTTGGTTTGATATAATAACTTGCTTTGCATGTATCTTCTAATTACTTTCAGCTGATAGATAGGGCAGGTGTGTTGCCTTCACACACACTTGACAGGGGCAGTAATGTCATTGTTGTCTTCTCTCTCAGTTATACATTCAGTCACTCCCAGGCTACCTGTATTTACAGTATGTACTGCACTACTCCTGTTGATTTCTGGTCGCATGCTGTCTTAACTTTGTGATGTTATCTTTTGCCTCCCCCTGGATTTGCATTGTAATGACCTCATTGCGAAACAACTGTTCTGCCCTGTCCCTGCGTGGTATTACTGTACCTTCATGCTGCTCTTTATTGGATATTGATGGAATTATTCATATTGTCTTTTTTGTTGTTGTTATGGTTTCTGTTTTGGTTTTCGACTTATTGTATATTGTAGACAACTGCAATTCTCCCTGGACAACAGTGTCCGCTAAGCAAAGAGTAATATTTAAAAACAAATAAAATAGACCTATCCTGAGAATCTAGTCCCCAGACCTTCACTACAGCCCTAAAACCCTCAGTTCCTTCTCATTTAACATCTAAATTGTGTGTGTGTGGGTGTTTGCCCCACTGTGAAGGACTGGCACCCTTTCCAGGGTGCAGTTAACCTTGTGTGCTCTACCTGCTGGGTTAGGCTTCCATTTAGGATAAATGAAATAAGGATATATTAAGGGCTTAAGATGGATAGATGAAGGAAATCATAATAAGTAATTGTTAGACATAATGTGCTATACAAAATGGTGAAAAATGGCACATCACTGCCACCATATACTTTTCTCAATGTAGATTCCTGCTTGTAGGGATAAAATGTAGTCTCTCTGTTGCTGGAATTGAGGTGAAATGTTTTGGGTTTGCCTCCGGGGAACATCTATGCTGTGGACTCCCGACAGCGTTGAACATAGTCAGTGCCCTTATTATGTAAATCAAATTGCCAGTGAATGTATCCAGCTATTCGGATGGACTGGTTCTTTGCAATGGGATGCAATAAGAGGCTTGGAATCTGACCTTCCTGAGTGTTTTGATGCTCCAAGGTTTGGGCTTTGTTTTGTCTAAGTCCCCCCATGATTAGAAGAGGGTAGACTTTGGTTTAGAGGTTGCAAACGCAAATGAGAAACAGTTTTTAACACTACATTATGTGTTTGTAAACCTGTGCTTTATGAGCACAATTTAAGTGTGTTAATAATTGCAAGTAGAGGTCAGCTGGCATGTTTATTGATGCTGTACTGATACTGTTAGTGAATATCTATTTCTCCATCCATTTTCTAGCCAGTTTGTCCCGTAGACGATTGTGGGGGGGCTGGGACCTAACCCAATAAGCAAGGCAGGATACACCTTGAGTGGGACACCAGTCTATTGCCGGGCACACTCTGACACAAACACACCAGACCAATTAACCCACCAGCTTCTCTTTGGACTGTGGTGGAAAGCAGAGCACCCAGAGGAAACCCACACAAACACGGGGACAGCATACAAACCACTGAAGAGCCATGAACAATTTCGATGGGAAACCCGCAAGCCCTTATCTGAAGTGTGATTTATAGCTCGGCTATACACTGGGTGTCCTCCTTATAGAGACAAGAACTCAGAACGAACGGGGCGTCTGACAGGTGGAACTCATACACACCTCTGTCTTGCAGCCCTTTGCTGAGAGAGCTGCAAGAGGAACTGCCCGCGGTGCAGAATGCGAAGATGGCGAACCTGCTCCCTCCGACAGGCCCCGAAGTCTTCCGTCGCTTCACGCCGGAGTCTCTGGCGGAGATCGAGAGGCGCGTCGAGCAGGAGGCGGCTGAGAAGCAGAAGAAGCAGCACGTAGAGGTGGCCGAGGAAGACCTCCCCAAGCCTGCCAGTGACCTGGAGGCTGGCAAACCCCTGCCCTTCATATACGGTGACCCACCTCCGGAGATTCTCAACGACCCTATAGAGGACCTGGACCCCTACTACAGAGCAAAGAAAGTCAGTCAGTGTTTTACTACATGAGCCTGTAGAATCAGCATTTTACTAGTACTTGAGCCTCTAGAGTCAGTGTTTCGCTAGGTCAGGAGCCTCTAGAGTCAGTGTTTCACTAGTACAAGGGCCCTATAGAGTCAGTGTTTCACTAGTACAAGGGCCCTATAGAGTCAGTGTTTCACTAGTACAAGGGCACTCTAGAGTCAGTGTTTCACTAGGTCAGGAGCCTCTAGAGTCAGTGTCTCACTAGTACAAGGGCCCTCTAGAGTCAGTGTTTCACTAGGTCAGGAGCCTCTAGAGTCAGTGTTTTACTAGTACAGGAGACTAGAGTCAGTGTTTTACTAGTACAGGAGACTAGAGTCAGTGTTTTACTAGTGCAGAAGACTCTAGAGTCAGTGTTTTACTAGTGCAGGAGACTCTTAAGAGACATTTAAATGCTTGTTTTAATTACGGAGATGGACGTATTTTTAATTATGTATATTATATAATATTTTAGTTTAATAGAAATTGGTCAAGGTTGAGTTTAAAAAACACTATAATAAAAATTAGTTCACAGCAAAAAAAAAAGGATTATGAAAATACTGTGAAAAAGCACTAGAATCTTAGTTTCAGCATTTTGTTTTTTTGCTTGCGAAGCTGTTGAGATGTTTCCAGTTGAGATTTCTTGTGTGAAAGTTGTGACAGCCTGGAGCAAGCCACCCCAGCACTGTGGCTTAGGTCAATACCCTGGCTTCTTTACAGAACCAGCTGGATGAGATCCTTAAATCAAGCTACTAGTGGTTGCTACTAGCAACCAAACAACCAAGATGGGCCTAATGGCCTTCTCTTCTTTGTAAAAAATCTTATATGCTTTTCTTAATTACCTCAGAAAAGTGACTGCAGCAGAGTGTTTAATAATGTTCTCTTTTTGTTTTCCAGACATTTATAGTCATTAGCAGAGGGAAAACAATCTACAGGTTTAATGCAGAGCCTGCCTGCTACATTCTGAGCCCATTTAGTCTTATTAGGAGAGGAGCGATTAAAATTCTAATACATTCATATCCTTTTGCAAAAATCCTTTTTTTGGCTTTCCTGAGACAATAAAACAGCTATCTCTGAATGCATGGATGTATGAAAAGACTGGATTGTATTTAGTGGGGCTACAGTCTATTTTCTTTAATCTTCTGTGAGCCTCTCAGGAAAATATTGTTTCTTCAGTCCTTTAGTACGTTATTTTTCAATGACGTTTTTCCTGACGATGGAGCAGTATAGCTTTGGGTGAGGTAGCTCAGTTCAGATATTCGTTTATTTATTTTTTTGTAGCACAGAAATTATTTTGGAACTAGTTTCTTTTTCTGTCCTAATGTCTTCAACTTGGCAGCCTATCATTGATAATACATGAAAATAAAATCAAAGTAAGAGAGAAATATATCTTGCTGATACGTCCATGAGCTAGGCCATGTTCCCTGGGCTGTTTTTGCTCCTTAATTCTGAATTAAATTATTTAGCATGTTCATCATGATAACCATTCTAGCAAATTGTGTGTTCATGACAATGAACAACCCTCCATCCTGGAGTAAAAACGTAGAGTAAGTATGCATTTATTTCATTATAATATAAATATAAATATATTGAACCATTCGTTAACACCACTATTTGTGTGAATGCTGTAGTTTAACAAAGTCTGTTGCTCATTCAGCACTTAACTACAGGTTGCAAAACCAGTTATTCAAAATTATTTTATGCCATTTTGCTGGGTGATGAAAGATGGGGTTTTAGAAAAGAAGTGCACCTGGACATTTCTGATCCTTCTCAATCAATCAAGATATTTGTGGGATAAATTCCTACTTCTGAAAGTGTCCTTTAAACTAAAATATTTCATGATAACCTTATTAGGAACTGTATGTTTTAGGTTTTATTTAGATTTAGGTCTATTAGATTACATTTAGACTGGGTCTTTTGCAGCCACTGAAGCCTTGTTATAAAGGTGTTCATCTTAAGTATTGAGAATATTCCCCCTTTATTATATTTGTACAGTCTATGTCCATCTTTTAAACTCTGGCCCTCCACTCCCACTGTGTTTCAGATATGCTTTTACAGGTATTTATACCTTTGAAGCGCTGGTCAAGGTTTTAGCAAGAGGCTTCTGCATTGGAGATTTTACATTCCTTCGAGATCCCTGGAACTGGCTGGACTTCAGTGTTATTACCATGGCGTAAGTATGTGTTCGGCTCTGCTGATTTATGAGAAATAACTGCCAGAAAGGAAATTGTGAGGCGTTGTTTCTGTGTGCCTCCTACCTGGGCGTGGGAGAGAGATATTACAGAGATGGACACACAGACCCACGTTTCTCTAGGACCTGGGGGGTCATTTGAACAGGCTGGGGGGTTAAAGAGGTGAGCAATGGGTTAAGGATCACAGCATCAGCAGCACATTAGAATTAATCTCCCCGATCTAGTCCTGTGTGTTCAACTCCAGTGTTCTTTAACCTTTCCGAACAACACTGCGTGTTTGAATGAAAACGTTTGTCAACTATGGAATCAGGGTCAGGTACCAGACCTATATTTAGCCTGTCCCACCACAGTATGAAACCGCTATGCCATTTCTCACCATTTCAGTGAGAGCTGCTCTCTCTCCATCATGCCTTGATTTATTAACGATCCTCAAGTCTTGGAAGGAGTGTTTTGTGATTGTCATTGCCATTCCTGGCACTGGAGACAGATCCTCTTTGCTTCCTAGTGTTATCTGAGAAGATAAATCCTCTCTGCTTTTTGCTCTTATTAATCAATAATGTGTGATGCTTTAGCTCTGTGCATTCGAAGAACTTAAATAGCTTCCCTGTTGCCTGCACAGTGCAACTATTTGTCTAAGGGTCTAATAATTAATGAGCAGTAAGGAATGTTACATTTAGAGGGTCTGTCTGAAGATTTCTGTTTGAAATGCACCTTTATGTCCTGCTCCTGTTTCCACCTCTCAAGCATGAATGACTGTTACAGCTACTGTATTATATAGCTTCACAGAGAGTAAAAATATTGCTGGTAAGTTTGAGTTCATGCACAAAGCACGGCCCCTGTAATAAGCAATTTGATTTACAGAACTGTTGCGTGCATCCACTAGGTGGCTGAGTGGTCCATCCCTTCTCTCATCAGCTGTCAGAGAGATAATGCTACCATTTGGCATCACAAGTGGACAGTTGCCTTGATCTAAATTTAACCTCTGTTAAACCATATCATTTACCATAGCAACAGATCAGCGTTGCCTTTTGTAAAATGCACTGCGTGCAAAAATACGGCCAACAGAATTACAGACGTCACCAATAACAGTTGATAACACAGTATATGCTTTTTCAGTGGTATCAATGTGTTTATTTATGTTTATGTGCAGGTACGCCACTGAATTTATCGATTTGGGCAACGTCTCTGCTCTCAGGACCTTCCGTGTACTCCGAGCTCTTAAAACAATCACTGTAATTCCTGGTACGTGCTGCTGAAGAAGATCCAGACTTAATCTTTGACCAGCACACGGAGATCTGTTCTGAATGCTTGCGGTCGTGAGTGTGCCTCTGTATATTCGAGTGTGTGTGTGTGGTAGAGGCCAGCAAAAACCCTACTTTGGACAAAGTTTGGGTAGAGTTATGTCCACATCACACTTTCATATGTTCTGTGGCTAACACATCCAATACCCCAAACCATATTAATGTGAATAGTATTACTTTCACAGCTCAATTTGTGATTTACTCTTTTTTTGTGCCTCTGCATGTTCTGCAGGTTTATATTGTCTAGGTCCTGGGTATGGCAATTTGGGTATAGGGTATCCCTCCATTCTTTGCTGCACATGCATAGGTGGAACATGTCCTGATGTACCCAAAGTAAATATTTGTCTCACATGATTTAAAAGAAACATAAAACAAGGTTTTGTAGCAGATTTATTGTTTTTTTAGGGAGCCAAAGAGTGTGGTGCAATGATATGATACATTGATTGACTCCATACTTAGCAAAAAAACAGAAAAAACGCATTGAAAAAGATATTTAAAACAGTTTGTAGGAATTTAAGAGAGAATCTCTGATGACGCACACAAATGAGTGCAAATCCAACAAATGAAGTTACAGGAAAATGCAGGTTATTAATCATCCCTTCCATGACTCTAAACTACTCAATGCCTTCAATAATTAAAGAAAATAACAGTTTCCCACTTCTTGCAGTTCAGCTGACAATGCTTATGTTATCTGTCTTGTCAGGTTTGAAAACCATTGTTGGAGCTCTGATTCAGTCAGTGAAGAAGCTGTCAGACGTGATGATTCTGACAGTGTTCTGTCTAAGCGTATTTGCACTCATCGGGCTCCAGCTGTTCATGGGTAATCTCAGGCAGAAGTGTGTCAGATGGCCCCCACTCATGAATGACACATGGATTGTTGACGACAACCATCGGAACTCCACTTCTGATTACATGAATGATACCTCTGTGTTTGACTGGAATGAATATGTGAACAATAACGGTAAATCAGGAATTAGTGTGCAATGCTCTGATTCATATCTTAGAATGACAACGACTTAGTGTGCAATGCTTTGATTTATAACTTGGAATGACAAAGAATACCACAAAATCTAAATGAGCTAGACTTTCCTTGGTTACTGCAAAACAGTGGCTCCTAAAGCCTTTTGGGTGCCAGCAAACTTGCAGTGATATCAATCAACAACACACCACTCTGTGGTTAACACTCCAATCTGTGTTAACTCTCCTGTACAGCACTGTAGAGCTGGTTGCATGTGACTGGACAAGGTTCTGGTAGGTGGGCGTGTCAGAAGGGCGTGTGTAGAGGTCAGAGTTCACCTCTAGTTCTAAATTAGTTATTCCAGATTGGCGGGGCATAAAAATAGAAAATAATATACAGTTATACATAATATTTAATAATTAATAATAGTCTCAGGTTATGCTTTTCAGCTCTGTAAAATAAAAATATTGAAAAAGTGCTTTATTCTCTGAAAACTTCATCAAGCACTCCTACAAGAGCTAGTTAGTGAGCCTGTATAGTCATCTTATTTACTTTTATTTGTTATTACATTTGCTATTTGCTATTACAAGATATTACATATCTTGAATTACTGTAAGAGGTTAGTAGGGTTTTTTTTATAAGGATTATAGGGTACAACTTAACTATATGCGAATTTGCCTTTATGCACTCCTCAAAATCCCTAATTCCTAAAGTTGAGTTTTCACTGTAAAGTCCAAATTTAAAAAAAAATGTAGAACTTAATTTTGCCTACACTTGGAGCAAACGGTAATGCTGAGGAATAAATGGATTTTGATTTTTTTAATAACTTTTCGGTGCATTTGCTTCCCGCAGTGGTAGTGAAGAATAAGGCTCTAAAAGCTTCCTTGTCTTTTTTTATATTTCTAAGACAATTTCTACTTCCTGGAAGGCAGCTTGGATGCCCTCCTTTGTGGGAACAGCTCGGATGCTGGGTAGGTTCATTTTGTGTCACTAAGAGCACGTTGAATAACTTCTAGATGATGGGATGTTGTTGACAATTTTTCATGTTCTGTGTGTTCTGGGAGCTGAGTTTCTTCACTAAAGCAAAAAATTACAGTCATAAGTGGGCATCTTTTTTTAGACATATATGACTAATTAGTACATATCATAATATCATGCAGGACATGTGCATCATATCTCACACTTAGATCTACAGTACCCACTAATCCAGCAGGCTGAGCACTATGTGCTTGGCTGAGCAATTACGTTTACCTTACTATACCTATTCAAAAGCTGTGCTCTACTGGACCTTATATACGCAATATATCATGAGACATGGGACCTACTGGGTGTATTTAAGTAGATGGAAATCTTTGTGAGCAATGCCTGAGTGCATAGCTCATCCTGTGTATAATTAGCATAGTTTCTACAATATAATGCTGTTAAATGCCTCCGGATACTATATCAGGGCATGTGTCAAGCATAAGACTGAGGGTGGTGGGTGGAGGTTAGAGAATGAGGCTGTCCAGGTGGTTGCTGTTTGAACTCATATGTGGCCACTACCATGCTGACAGGAGGTGCCCAGAAGGATACACCTGCATGAAGGCTGGAAACAACCCGAATTATGGCTACACCAGCTACGACACCTTTGGCTGGGCTTTCCTGGCTCTGTTTCGCCTGATGACGCAGGACTTCTGGGAGAATCTCTTCCAGCTGGTACTTGTGCCCTCCTTACCGATTCTGACGTGCAGGTTTGGATGAATAAAATGAGGAATTATTCAACCGAAATGTATTTTTGAGCATTTCAAAGAGGATTTCTGTTCTGGTTAATTTAGCCGTGGCATGCAAGGCAGGCATTGAAACTCCTGGATGACCAGACCTGGGAATTTAATGATGGAAGCTACATTTGTACACAATTACCAGTCTATGGCTCCGTTTAAATCTTATTTCAGCTCAACCTTTTCCTAAGTCTTGAGCTGCTGATGATTTAAAGAAACCTAAGTAAACTGTGAAAATTGTGAACCTTGAAGATCAGAGTCTAGGATAACAAATGCTACCCCTGTCATTTCACAGTGCTGTCAAGCAAGTATTTAAGCTCTATGAAGCTGACGTAAACTCTACTGAAATGCTCAATCATATCTGTGCTGACCAGCACTGGTTATGGAAGACCTCCGCGAATGCTGGGTTTCAATCCAGCTCAGCACTGAACTGCCCGGGGTTGCTAAGTATGGGGTTACCCGAATCAGCTAAACAGCTTTCGTCAGTTCTGAAGCTGTTGGCGTTACAAAGAGACCTGCAGGACCAGGAGTGGACAACCCCTCTGCATTGCCCTACCAAACTGGGTGCCTTTTCTTGCGATGCAGACGCTCCGAGCAGCTGGCAAGACCTACATGATCTTCTTCGTGGTGATCATCTTCCTGGGCTCCTTCTACCTCATCAACCTCATCCTGGCTGTGGTGGCCATGGCGTACGCAGAGCAGAACGAAGCCACCATGGCTGAGGCCAAAGAGAAGGAGGAGGAGTTCCAGCGGATCCTGGAACAGCTGAAGAAACAGGAGGCGGGGGTGAGCTTCTTCCACCACATCCAGCATCTGCAGTAGCCTTTCCTGGCCTGAATGAATGCGGTCTTATGCAGCCACATTCACACAGGCTATGGAACAGCTCTGGTACTGGTTTCCAATGTTTGTTCCAATACATACTTAAGTAATTATATTAATACCCACACAATGCACAATTGTCAGAGGTCAAGATGAAACTCTTTTAAATGATTGCTTTTCAAGCCTCTATATGAGGTAAATTTGTGATGGCCTGAGGTAGGGTTCGAGCTAGGATTCATATCAGGTTTAGGTGCACTATGAATGCCTGTGTACCTCTACTGTAAAAGGGGTTATAAAGTATTACGGATGTTATTACAGTGATGGACGTATCAGTCATGATGGCGGGAATTCAAGTAAAAAAGGAGGCACCTGGGAAAAGGAGCCGAAGAGAATCTGGTTGTTTTTAGTCTCTCAGTGGAATAAAAGAATCTCGCACATCCGTGGGCTTCCGAATCCATTAGTCAAAGGGCTGATTCAGTTAGTTCATTCCGTACTGGGATGGACGGCACTGGGGGGGGTGAATTCTTTCCCTTCTGCAGCAGGACCCCTGACAAGCCCGAGTCTTGACTCCCCTGTGGCTCTGGGTGAACTTCTGTAGGAGGAAGCTACTCTGTCACACTGAGGCTAGGCGATCTGCACCAGGGTGTCCCTGCACAAGGATATATTTCCTCAAAAATTTGTCTTTACATCTTTATTAGACTTCACTAAATTGCTGTTGAATCTTATTGTATGGTTTTGTTGCCTTTGTTGTCTACAAAAATACAGATATTTAATCCTTTTCTATCATACATGTATATCTATTTATCCATATTATACACTGACATAGCATCTACAATTTTAGGTAGGAACCTGGAACGGGAAGATGATTTTGAATTGTAATAGATTCTTTAGTTTTCATTACTATTGTTTTTTAGTGATTTTCACCCAGTTATTAATAATGTTTTCCGAGCCGGCAAGCGAAAGGACCCCAGCGCTGAACTCGTTACTGTTAATTGCCCATTAACAGTTGCACGGGTCGGCAGGAGCCCACGCCAGCCACTCCTCGCTGGGCAGTCACAAGGGGAGGAAGAAGGACAGCGTGTCCGAGCAGGAGTTCGCCGACGACGAGCACAGTCTGGGGGAGGACGGGGGGGCCCTCAGGGACTGTAATGGCAGGATCGTGCCGAGAGTCATCATCGACCGGGTCTCCAGTGATGAAGAGGTGGGCGTCTGTTCAAACTGAGTAGGAAGTCAAGCCTACATTGTGCAGCAGGAGCAGTCTGAATATGTGTACAGCTATGAAAGCTCGTCTAATGAATTGCCTGAGATAGCAGAGTCCTGTGGCACCTCCCAGAACCTGGTTCGGCTCCTCCCAGCTCCTCCAACCAGCTGGGTTGACTAATGACTTAGTTAATGACTAAGTCTTTTAACTGACTCTCGTCCTGTCCTGTTATTCCAGGATTGTAGAGCTGGGGCCTGGTGATTTCAATCATCCCATATAACTCCCTTCACCTGGTCATGCGAACTGGCTGTCATTTCAGGCCAGATATTGACATCACAGTGTACATATTTTTAAGTCATCACACAAGTAGATTTATAATGTTGAAATCCACTTCCAGAAATCCACATTTACCAAACTGTGGTGTCTGTCTCAGTCGCTCTTAGTTTATTCTGTCACCGTGTGGTGCATCTCTCTAGTCTGTCGCTGAAGAGGAGAAAAAAGAGAAGGAGAATCTGAAATCCAGGCCCAGTATTGGCCACCTGGAAGACCCGGGACTGCAGAAGAGGAGAGCCAGCGCCGTCAGTGTCCTCACGAATGCTATGGAAGGTAACTGATACTAAGCAGTATTGCGTAACATGCAACATGGGCTTGACGATTCCCTGCTGCGTTGGCTGCTTGTGTTGAAATTGGATGTACAGAACAAAGACATGAACAAGGTTTTTACCACAGTTAACAGATTTTAATTTACAAAGGTTTTTGTGTACTTTTTTTGACCATGCACACTCAATGCATTTACTTTTGCTTTCCCAGTTTCCTGTAGTCTGTGTCATGTATTATCTTTCCTAACTCTGCTATACCAAGATGGTGCTCATGGTTCACTGTCCAGTGTGGAGCTGGCCCTGGTACACCTTTCTGAGAGCTTCACTGAATTTTTGTTTATAACCATATGACTTCACCTCTTACTTTAATAGGTCAAATATATGTTATTCCCAATTGTATTCTGGCCTTTCAACAAATTTTTATAATGAAGTCATAGATTTACTGTCCTGTTGCCTTTTAACTACTGGGTCTGTCTAATAAAAGCTTCTAATAATCACATGCATGCACACGATAATTGACTTGATCGGTTTAAAATACCATCGGCTTACAGGGAAGTTAAGACATCGCAGCATTAATCTGATGCAATTTCTAACTGGTAGGATTATCAAGTGTCACTGTTCATGTAAGAACTGATTTGATAAGAGCTCATGTAGCATTGTTGCAGGAGGAGAGAGTGTGAGGGGTGGATGATGTTCTGCTTCTGCACAATAACATGCCTGTAAGGTGATAATTCCCATGCTTTTCCAGCTCAGCACCCTGTCACCACTCAGGTCCAGTTGGTATCACACCAATGCTCTTGTCAAAATCCTACTGTCAGAAAAATAGCCTTTAACCTTTTATCCTTTTAAAGACGGTTAATAGCTGTATTGATATCCCTTGTAGTTGAGGACGATTGTCTTCCATGATCACCTACTAATTGGTGGGTCCAAAGGCACCCAGAGACGCCAATCTGGAATAGATGGATCCTATTGCAATTTGAACTTGTATTCCAGAATAAAATAGATGATCTGGTCCACAACCTGCTGTTTCTGCTGTTGCTGCTTTCCTGTCTCTTGATGCCATGGCATGGTTTCAAGGTGCAGAGAGCGTTGAAGCAGGGCCTTCTTCTGTCAATGAGCTGGTGTTGCACATCAGATTGGTCTTCAGCATATCTTTGAAGAGTTTTCTCTGCTTTTCTCACGAGCACACGTCAGGTCTGAACTTGAAGAAAATGACTTGCTTGTGAAAAGAAGCTAATATTGTGACATTTCTCCTCTGAGTGTGTTTGAAAAACCTTCTAAAGGAAGTGCAGCTGATATTTCTAACAACCTTGGGGTATCTTCTGTCTGTTGTCCACATGTCCATCAGGTAGAGTAGACTGGAACTGTCTGATAGACTATTAAAACAGTTTGGAGTCTGCTATCTCAATCTGCGAACACCCGTTGTGTCAGACTGTATCACTAAGAAGTCTGGCTGCAGTTTCTGCTCTCAATGTCTCTTGATGTTGATAACTTTTTTGCTGTTTTCTTTTCTTTTCCTGTTATTCTTGGTACAAGAACTTGAAGAGGCACAGCAAAAATGTCCTCCTTGGTGGTACAAATTTGCCAATAAGGTCCTGAAATGGGACTGTTGCCCTTTGTGGATTAAATTTAAGCATGCCGTCCACTTTGTGGTGATGGACCCCTTTGTTGACCTTGGCATCACAATCTGCATTGTGCTGAACACCCTCTTCATGGCCATGGAACACTACCCCATGAGCCAGGATTTTGAGCATATACTCTCTGTGGGGAACTTGGTAAGAATCCGACACCAGCTTTCTCTCCTGTTTCTGTAGCTCAGATTTACACCTGTAAACACCTGTACCAGTCTGTCTTGAATTAGTTAATTTACTTAACTTTTAACTATGTATTTCACTGGGGTGAGCCCCCAGTATACTTAGAAGAGATTGCCATACAAATTCAGTTTATAGCACAATATATGTAGAGGAGCAAACAAATTAGCCTTATTTCAGATTCACAGGACCACCATCTTCAAAAGGTACATCATCATTAATAAAGAGCAGCTTTGCATCTTCTTTGTGTGCCAGCTGGGATTTGAAACAATAGATAAACTAATTTTAGTGTTTTGGGATGCCTGCAGGTTTTCACAGGAATCTTCACGGCTGAGATGGTGTTCAAGATTATCGCCCTGGACCCATATTACTATTTCCAGACTGGCTGGAATATCTTTGACAGCATCATTGTCACTCTGAGCCTGGTGGAGCTGGGGCTTGCAAACGTCCAGGGTTTGTCTGTCCTGAGGTCATTTCGTCTGGTACGATATGAGTTCTTCTCCCCTTAAACACTAGGAGTTACTGTAAATTAGTTAGTCGTTTCGAAGGACGAAAGAGGACTTTTTAACTTGAAAGCAGTGGTTCATAACCTTGGGTGCACTGCACTGGGGGTACTGAGAGTACAGGCCAGATTTTTGTAGAAGGTAAGCCGTCGAAAACACAAATCACTTCAACCATTTTTGATCAGGGTCACAAGCACATTTTTTTGTGGACCAAAGTGGTGCAGGCTGCAGCAAAGGTTAAAGTCTCTATGTTAAGTCTCCGTGAGTTAACTAGTTTTTATTTCAGTAAAAAATTGATTTTGTTTTCTATCACATTTTCCAATGTTTAAATCGCTCTTCTGCATAGAGGAAAAAGGCCTTGAAGCTTCTTTGAAATTGAGAGGTGACTCCTTCAGATTAGAAACGTTGGCGCATGAGCAACAGTTGTTAGGGTTGGACATTATGGGCAGCACCGAAGTTTTACAATGTGTGAATGCTCAAGCACCTGCAGGACCTCAAACATCAAGGCCCAGGTTTGGGGTATTTTAAGAATCTTGGTGTTGCTCAACTGCTAAAGACGGCAGGGTTGAATGTGTCCCCTCTTCTGGTTCTGTGAAACAGCTCCGTGTGTTCAAGCTGGCCAAATCATGGCCGACCCTCAACATGCTGATCAAGATCATCGGGAACTCGGTAGGGGCCCTGGGGAACCTCACCCTGGTGCTGGCCATCATCGTCTTCATCTTCGCCGTGGTGGGGATGCAGCTCTTCGGCAAGAGCTACAAGGACTGCGTGTGCAAGATCGCCTCGGACTGCGAGCTGCCTCGCTGGCACATGAACGACTTCTTCCACTCCTTCCTCATCGTCTTCCGGATCCTGTGCGGCGAGTGGATCGAGACCATGTGGGACTGCATGGAGGTGGCCGGGCAGGCCATGTGCCTCATCGTCTTCATGATGGTCATGGTCATCGGCAACCTGGTGGTGAGTGGTGCCCCCGATTTCTCCTTTCCGATTCCTGCCTTGCTTGTCCTTCCCTGTCTGTGCACCAGCTGTTAGTGAACTCGGTTAGAACCTTTATAGCATGCGCCTTAAGCAGGATGAAAATGCAAATGTTAAAAATCTGCATTTTGAGAGGATTGTGAGCTGCTTTTGCAATCATTTCCATTTGCAAAAGCCGATTTTATCACATTAATCTAAGGTTTTTCCGGGAGTGACACTGACGCTATTTGTATTTGGTTTCTCCTCATAATCACCCCCCATTTAATTTGAACTGTGGTAAAAGGTGCTTTTATCTTTTTTTAATTGGATACCGGAATTACAGAAATAGAATGGAACCAACAAGGTCTGGACTTTGATGCTATTTGCAAGGCGAATTGTCACGTTCCAGACCTCTGAAATACTTTATTTGCTGCTGATTTTCTTACTTCTACCAAGAACTACTAAACAATATTCATAAAGCTCATACAGTATGTGTCCTTGACACTGAGTTTACTATTACAGACAAGGAGATGGTATTTAGCTGTTGTTTGATATACTATACAGACTCCATATTTATGGTTGGACCCTAATGGTTCTTTACTATAAATGACACCAACTGTATTTCCTGTTGGGTTATTCATAGGGAGAGAAGGAAATAGCACATGCTATGAAGTAACAAAAGCCATGGGCAGAATTCTGTGCCAAAACTAACAGGGTTTTTTTTGTCTCATCCTATTGGCTGGTCTTGGTTCCTGTGCACAAACATTTGCAGATAGGAGACAAGCTATTTATTCAAAGGCTTCTATTTAAATGACATGACTGAGCCAGCCTCAGCAGCTCTGACCTTGGGGATGTGTTAAGTCCCAGCGCAAGTGAGAGCCCTCTGGCATCAGAGGTACAAACACTAACAGCTGAAAGCACAAAGAACAAGACAAGAGGGCGGCTATGCTTCAAACGAATCTCCTAATTGAAAGGAAATGACGAAGCCCCATGTAAACATGATCTGTGGTTTTGAAGCGTTTTGCTGTGACGTAGTCCTGTTATCCACTTCCGCTGAAATAATACTGGCACAGGGGTCACGTCCTGCTCGTAGAGGACAGGCCGAGAAAAGACAGAGAAGAAGAAGTCTCTCCCTTCTGACCTGGTGGCTTAGATGTGGCTTAGATGATAGGCTTTACATGACACTGAAAAAAATCCATCAAGATCTCAGAAATATCAAATCCAGTAAAGGCCTTGCCTCCGAGTTCAGATTGCACCCTCTAGTCCAGATGCTCCTGGTGTCAAAGCTGGTCTGTATCCACTGACTGAATGGATTTTATGTGACTATTGAACTGAATGTTGGAAGGAGTTTCATTTAACTGACCGGGGTTTCCTCAGTACAATACCAACTCCTGGGACCTGCTAAGTGACTGTGAACAATGAGAGATTCCCCCCAGCCAGAGTTAACTCTCCTGTGAGACACTATGGAGCATAAAAACAAGTTGACAGTTAGCTGTCACAGGAGGGAACACCAGATAAGTGCCTTCTTAGGTCCTCATTCTCTCCTTGTGGTTAAGGAATTGTAGCTCGAAGATGAGTTTACATACAAGTGGTGATTTCCGATTCAATGGGATTAATTAACAAATAATGGGTGATTATTCTCTAATCTCTGCGAGCACACAAATATTTTTTGCCCTTTGCTGCAACAGCATAGAGATTATGCTCAGTCTTTCAAATGCTTCTCATATCTAAGGCTTGCTTGTCAATATTGTCGATCAAGTATTGCTTTTGGTATCTGAAGTGATGAGAACGTTTGAAAAGCAAAAAGGCAGCTGTGGCGGCACAACTCCTGTCCTCCAAACAACAGCAAAACATAGCTGATTAAACCCAATGCAATGCATTCTGAAAGTGGCTATAATCAATTTGTTTGCAGGTTTGATTCAGCATAGTCTGGGAGTTATATTCCTTTAAGAAACCACTTGAAAGCATCTTGCACAAGTGCTCGACCAATTCGCAGGAAGATTAGTCTGTTATTGGTAAAATACACAACTCCTGGTTTTCCACATGTTCCCCTCCTCGCCAACTCAACATCCTTCCCCTCGTCATCCCAGTCAGAGGGCCTCGCTGATTCACAAGACCCATATAGAATGAAAAGTATCAGCCTGCTCAGGCTCTTTAACACATGATCTGCATCTAAACTTGGGAAATAGGAACCGAGAAGTGGACTAACGCGATTTCGGCACTAAAGATAGCTGTCTGGACACAGGCGTCAGACAGCATAATATTTATGAGTGCTTCAGTCATGACCGAACCACATAAATCTGTTGTGTGGTATGGTTAAGAGTCATTTAACGCTATTGGCAAAATTCTGGACTTTAGTGTCCACAATTCACATTGATCTTTCAGACAGAAAAACTGTTTTTCATTTCTGCTTGCATTCGATTTTAATAAGCAAAGCATCCATGCCACCTTTTGGCTGGTACCGTGTATAACATTGTCTTTTGCAATCCAAAGCATCTTGGGTTCACATCTGACTCTGTCTGTCTTGAATTTGAATGTTCTCCCGATCTCCACATGGCTTTTCTCTGGATATTGCGATTTCTACCCGCTGCCCAAAGATGCACTATCTATGGATTCATTGGCATTTCTAAATTGCCCACAATATTGGCATGTGTGAGTGCCAATGTGATGTCCCACCTACTGCTCTGTACCTTTGAGGTTACTATCCTCATACCAATGAAAAAGGATGTATCTGTTAGTCTCTCCAAATTCTATACAGAGAGGTCTTAAAAACGTAAGACGTAATACTAGTAGCAATACTCCCTGGTTGTGCATTAAATGCCTTTCAATATTTTGAATCTTGATTGGTTCTTTGAAAGTTTGAATTTTAGTTTTCACATTCTAATCTTTGACAGGTCGAACAAAGTTAAGAGAAAACTTTCATTTCAGCACTGCTTTTCCATTGGCAATTGGACTCTTCTCATCCCACTTTAATGAACCTTCACATTCTGCTGTCTATGCCAAAACACACTGATTGTTTAACTTTTTAGAGAAAAGGGCTGATCTAGTTTAATCCTAAAGTGGCAACTCTCTTATCAAGATACAGAAGCACTTGTTATAAAAAGCAACCAGGGAAGGATCCTATCTAAACCAGTCGACATACCTGCAAATAATTTGGAAAGCTTTCCAAAGTTATTCCAAGGCTGGGTTGTTTGGGTCAGGATTTTGTAAAGCAGGATTTTTATAATTAAAAGTGCACTTGGTATGATCTAAAAGCTACTGTTTCATTTGCAATGGAGTTTAAGTAACATTTAATGCAGATGTTTGTTGATGCAGGTGTTTGTGGACCCATGCTATGTCCTATGATGTCAGCAATGTTGACGCAGGTGTTTGTGGACCCATGCTATGTCCTATGATGTCAGCAATGTTGATGCAGGTGTTTGTGGACCCATGCTATGTCCTATGATGTCAGGAATGGACATATTCCTCTTCCCAGGTGCTGAATCTCTTCTTGGCCTTGCTGTTGAGCTCCTTCAGTGCAGACAACTTGTCGGGTGGCGACGAGGATGGGGAGATGAACAACCTTCAGATCGCCATCGGCAGGATCACGAGGGGAATCGACTTTATGAAAAAGTCAGTCCTGAACCTGGTTTTCCGGCTGCTGGGCAGGAAGCCAAAAGAAGAAGACAATGACCCAAAGAAGGAGAACTTTGTCCTAAACCACATGGAGACGGGAGAAGAGACCAAAACTGACTTGAAGATGTTAGATGGGGTGTCGGCCAGCGAGGCCAACACAGCAGACGAAGTCGACCGCAGTGCGTTTGTCACAAACCCGCAAGTGACGGTCAGTGTGCCAATTGCAAAGGGAGAGTCGGATTTTGAAAACCCAGATGAGGAAGACTTCAGCTCTGAATGCGAACCCGACGACACTAAAAAAGTAAGGAATGTCCCTGTATTGTTTGCGATTGCAGATGTGGATATGACATCCATCTGCAAATGCAATTTATTTAACCGTGCTTTTTCTGCTGTGTTTTCCTTTACGCGTTCCCTTAAAGTGAGGGGGTGAAAGCTGCTTCCCAATCTGACTAAAGCGACACTCCTTGGTGAAACTAGCTGGTGTGTCTGCGCAGCTCAAAAGCCGTGAACATCAATCTAAGCTAGAGCTTAAAATCGGCTCCTGTCAGCACTACAGGGAAGTAGTAAAAACCACTTGGAAAATCATCCTACATGTGAGAACGCAACATCTGCAGAGACAATCTGTGGTTGGAAAAGAGACCGGTGGCGGAACAGAAAACAGTCACCTGATGTGGATCTTTAGAAACAGGAAGACTGCGGCTCATTAATCACCTAGTAGTGTCAGTCCACTAGCTACCTGTATCATATTGACGCTGTGCCTTGCACTAACACACTAGACCTATAATTTGTTATCTAGCATGTCTCCATTTTTTGATCTAGTGTGGCTGATCACTTTGTTCTTTTATTCCTCACAAATAAATGTATTTGTATTGTACCACATACAGCAGTCCTCCTTTAATTTCCCAACAGCCGTTTATGGCCTTTTTATGAAGCATGCACAGTGGACAGTAGTGATTGGGGGCTTTCTGCACAAAACACAGACATATCGGTAGGGGTGAACGAGACTTGCAGGAAGTGTCAGGAGCTGCAAAGTGAGACACTGTGTAGACGGTCTACATGGTGATCAGTCTGTGTATTGTGAAGTGTGTTTGCAGTTCTAACGCTGGGAAGCCTTGCTTTGCAGAAGAAGCTCGGTGATGAAGGCTCTTGCAGCACTGTTGACTTCAAGCCTCCGGAGCCAGAGGTGGAGGAGAAACTGGAGGAGACGCCTGAATCTGATGACCCAGAGGCCTGTTTCACAGAAGGTACTGATCCAGCACACTGCCCAATGTCTATTTACTGCTGCTGTGGACTCACTGGTTTCCCACAAGGGGCACTGTAGGAGGAGGGTGAAGGATTATTCAGTGTCAATATGGATGCAGGCATGTGCAGTGCATCCCTGGTTGCCATATCAACTGATTGTCTCGGCAACCACATTCTTCTCAGGGATTCTTGTGAAGAATTGTGGTGAGAATTCTGCTTTGTGGCACATGGCACCTGAAAGGCCAAAGGGTGTAGGAACATCCAGTCTAGCCAAAGGCATGGAGTGATGGACTTGACTTTGGAATTTATTTAAGATGCGCCATTTTCATTATAAGCCAGACGCTCCTACCAGTCTGGGCTCAGCTTTGGAAGATGGACGCCCAGAAGCCCGCCTACCAGAGGGTCCAGGAGAGACCCAACAGCATCGGCTTCACAACGGCGTCATGTCCATCTGGGTCCGGGGCTCGGAGCTCCTGGCTTTTTATCTCCCTGTCCCTGCGGATCCCGCTACGGTTTTTAACTTTTGTCGTGTCTGTTGAGGATGGATCACCCATTTCTGGACTTTTGCTCACCCTGGATATCCCTTTGGACTGTTCGCCTGGACCACTCCCCCCCGAGCACCAGCACACTGTCGTCACGCCCCCCTGTGCGTCTACCAGCCCCGATCCCAGTCTTCCCTCCCCCGTGTCTGTTACACTCCCTTCCGGATTCTGCCGTCTGCATAGGGTCCTGATTGACGCTTCCTGACACTCGGGGGTTAATATCTTCATATTTCCGCCCACAGGCTGTGTGAGACGCTTCCCCTGCCTCACGGTGGACATCACACAAGGCAGAGGAAAATCCTGGTGGAACCTGAGGAAGACCTGCTTCACCATAGTGGAGCACAACTGGTTTGAGACCTTTATCATCTTCATGATCCTGCTGAGCAGCGGAGCGCTGGTGTGTTTTTCTCAAACTCTGGATCATGTGTGTCCAAGCTAACAACAGGGACAGATTGCTGCTCACTGAACCAAAGAGGACATACTGTAAATGAGGTTACAAGTGAGAGAAGGCCATGGTCCATCTTGCTCATTTGGGTTCAAAGTTCATTAATCTAAGCAAACAGCACTTTTCATGTGATCTTGTCTTTAAAAAGACAGTCAACCACCCTAAAATGCATTTGCTATAACTTTCCTTTCATTTAGCTACCCCAAACAAAGTAATAGAAATTGAGAACTCAGAAGTAAAATGTCTTGGGCACAAAGCAAATTATTTGTACCAGTTTTAAACATTAGTCTTAATGGGGAATTGTATCAGGCTGTTGAACAAACAGTCAAACACTGGAAATACTGGAAACACTTGAGCTAGATTAATAATAATAATATTAATAATTCCTTACACTTTATATAGCGCTTTTTCTGGACACTTCACTCAAAGCGCTTTACAGGTATTGGGGATCCCCTCCACGACCACCAGTGTGCAGCCCCTCCTGGATGATGCGCTAGTACACTCCCCACACACCAACTCTCAGTGGGGAAGAGAGCAGAGTGATGAAGCCATTTCAGAGATGGGGATTATTAGGAGGTCATGATTGGTAAAGACCAATGGGAAATTTGGCCAGGACGCCGGGGTAACACCCCTACCCTATTAAGATCTCTTAATTGTTTTAAATTCTTCATGTTATTTTTTTCTCATATTTTCCAGGCTTTTGAAGACATATACATTGAACAGCGTAGAGCCATAAAAATCATCCTGGAATATGCGGACAAAGTGTTCACCTTTGTGTTTGTCATTGAAATGCTGTTGAAGTGGGTCGCCTATGGTTTCAAAACCTACTTCACTAATGCTTGGTGCTGGCTCGATTTCCTCATTGTGGATGTAAGTTTGGGTTGATTTGCGCATGCTGGTGATGGTTGAACGGAGCCAAATGTGTGAGTTCATTTAAAAAAACATTAATTTTCCCTGCAAGTGTGAATGCACTGCAGACATCTATTGACACCCACCTCATTGTTGCAATTGTTTATTGCAATTACTTACTATACGTCACAAATCGTGTTAAATACAGACTTGTGACCTTTATTTCTCTTGTTACGCTTACTGAAAACTCATCCATCCTGGCAAGTGGTTATTAAGATCTGCTAATTTGAGAGGTAGAACTGAAGAGTTGTGGTTAGCACAGGTTCCTCACAGCTCCAGGGCCCTAGTTTCACCTTTGGATTTTGGCAGCTGTCTGTGTGGGTTGGTCTCTTGAGCTGTTGTTGGTGCTCCACTTTCCTCCAACTTCCCATGAACATTCTGATTTGACTTGGGTAGCTGACCTAATTCCACCCCCTCTTCCAGTTCAGCGTTTATCCTGAAGAGGCAGGTGTCTGGGATCCTCACCCGTGGTGCATCACTCCCCAAATGCAAATTGCATGTCCACCTTGTAGCCAGATCTTGGAAAATTGGAAGAAGTAAGATTGGCCAGTGGTATAAGGGGACCAGTAGGTGGTGCTCTTCCTTTGGACCAGGATTTCTATATCAGTGCCATAGTATAGTGACCAGGAACACTGTAGGAAGTGCCATCATTTACAGATGTTAAAACTAAGACCCTGCCTAAGGTTGTTAAACCTGTCAAAAAAGCAGGAGTGTCAATCTCTGAGTCCTTAGTGAATTTGGTTCTGAATTTCTAAAGTCTGGCCTCCCTAAAGTTCCTCCTTAATTTTTAATTTCTCCCCACCTGAGCTGCTGTACAATGACTGAGATGTTTTACTTCACTGGTCCCAGCAAGGAGTGAGTTAAACAGTCTTGCTTGTGCTCCAAATAACTTTATTTCCTGAAACCCAAGCAGTTAAGCGTTGCATCATTAGCCCCAGACTGGTTCCACAAATAGTTTTTGTGCACTTTAGAAACCAAACATATATCACAAGTGATTAACGCAAAATGACTTTGAAAAAAAAGCACGGTCATGCAAATTTAATATTTGCCATATTTTGCTCAATGAGGAAGTCTGACAAGAGGAAGTGTAGAGTTTAAAATGGAAATGGAAAGTTTTATAAGATGTGTTTAACTGGAAAAGTGGCACAAATGCCTCATGCTTAATTAGTGATTATTTGTTCATTCTTAAAGAAAATTAAAAATTTGTTTTTAATGGTCCATCCATTTATTGGTGTCATGTCGCATACATCAATTATAAATTCTGAAGAGAAAATGTTTCATCACAATATTAATAAACCTGCTGTTTCTTGAAATTGCATAAACGGAAAAACAAATCCATGAGTGATTTCTATCAATCTTGTTTTTAAACGGATAAAATGTTCTGACTCTCAAGAACCCTTGATCAATTAATTTTTCATCAGTAGCATACATTATTACAACAGTAACAGTTTCCAGTTCTGTCTGGAATTCTAAGCTGTTGGGATAACTTTCCATAGTGTAACATTTTATTTCTGGTGCTAGGCAAGTGGGAGTGTTTTTAAAATGCGTCATATCATTTGTCTGGATTCTTTTGTTTAACCACAATCAACCTCTTGTTTCAGGTCTCACTGATTAGTCTGACAGCAAACTTACTGGGCTACTCGGAACTAGGACCCATTAAATCACTGAGGACTCTAAGGGCGCTGAGGCCTTTGAGAGCTTTGTCTCGATTTGAGGGGATGAGGGTAAGTGAAAATCATCTACAACTGCAATCCGCAAGAATCCTAGATTTGTTTTCAGAAAATAATAATAATGGACAGTCCAAGATCCATAATAAATAGGTGCTATGAAAGGACTGTTTAGTTTCAGAAAGGAGGGAAAAATTTAATATCTTATACATTACAGCAACTAAACTGCTGATTTCTTGTTGCAGACACATTAAAATGTTTATTATTAATTGTGATAAGAAAATTTTTAATACACCTAACCCTAGCCCTAATGAGAGCAGTTTCAACAGCCAAGAGTCTCCACAGTCTGCCCCTGTCCTGAGGGACAAGTGGCTAACATCTTGACACAGTTCAATGATTTTTTGGGATTGCAGGCCAGGAGTTCAGAGGAACCTAAAACAACAGGTACAAATCCAATTTTCGACAAAATATGCTATGCATAGAGACACATTTTAGCCATTTCTCCCACGTTCCTGGCTAAATTCCTGGAGGGGATCTTAAGCTATCACAAGCTCATGAACATGTATAAATGTTGGGGTGCTTTTCTCTCATTTGGACACAGGTGGTGGTGAACGCCCTGGTCGGTGCCATTCCATCCATCATGAACGTCTTGCTGGTGTGTCTCATTTTCTGGCTTATCTTCAGCATCATGGGGGTCAACCTGTTCGCCGGGAAGTACTACAGGTGCATCAATACCACCACAGAGGAGGTAATCGATATGTCTGTGGTCAACAACAAGAGTGACTGCCTGGCGCTGATGTGGACCAATGAGGTCCGCTGGGTGAACATGAAGGTTAACTTTGACAACGTTGGCCTGGGATACCTCTCCTTGCTGCAAGTGGTGAGTGCCCACAGTTTGGAGAGCACAACAAGAGTGCCGGTCATGGGAAGACTGAGAGACGGGGATTACTTTATCTGACCGATATCAAATTCAAATAATGCCCGGTTCAGATCATCAGAACTCTCACCTGCAGGTTTCTGCTCTACTTGGGCTTTCAGTTCCATAATGGAACGTACAGTTCAGCTAACAAAAGATTGATCCATTTTCAAACAACTTTATCCAACACAGAGTCAGTGTGGGGCTGGAGCCAGCTCTTCACAGGGAGTACACAGACACACACACGCACACACTCGCCCTAGGGCCAGTTTTCCCAGTGTATCTTTGGACTGTGGGAGGAAACTGGAGCACCTGGAGGTAATCCATGCAAACACAGGGAGAACAGACAAACTCCATGCTGCAGATAGCACCCCAAGAATTAAACCCAGTGCCTCCTCACTGTGAGGTAGCAAATGCTGATTTTGATTCTTTATTTTCAGCATCTAAACATGTTGTGTGTTTTCTTTAAACAGTTATGTGTTAAATGTAACTTGAAACTTTAAATCGTTCCAAGGCAAGGAATTCTTGAACAGGTTGCAGTTTGGCACGTAGTTTAGTTCAGGGTTAAATAAAATAACTACAGTAGGTTCTTGGCTCAGGAACCAGTTGAATTGGGCGTAATCAAGGACTGGATTGGAAAACAGTGACCCACGACAAGGCTCGGCAGTGTCGACTCCTCCGTTTCATTCCATTGCCAGCCTATGTTGCTACCACGCCCTTCAGTATTGCAGTGATTGCCAGTGGCTGGTCAGTTAAGCATCAAGTTTTGATGCAATCAAAGGTGTGTCGGGTTAATAAAGTCTTACAAAGTCCATTTTGCTAGCTTCCAGCCTAGCTTTCTAGTCTTCACGTTCAGATCTCCCCAGCTCTGGATCTCAAAACCCAAACCTGCCCGATGCCTGTGAATAGTTGGTAAAGTGCTAAAAGCAGGGATCCTCACTCCTGGTCCTGAAGGGCCAGAGTGTCTGCAGGTTTGTCTTCCACCTCAGCTCTTATTGACTTCATTGAATCAGTTATGATTGAATCGCCCTTTCTAACGATTGTTGCCAGTCATTGAGGATTTGGAGGATAAAATCGAGGGCCAAGTACAGGGGCTTGTTACAAGCAGGAAAGATACGTATTTTCAGTTGTAAAACAGAGACACTAAGTCCCTCTGTCACAATGATAGTAATCCATTCACATAGCATCATCTTATTGCTTTATTCTTTCTTTCTAGGCTACATTCAAGGGATGGATGGATATCATGTATGCTGCTGTTGATTCACGTGAAGTAATGACTTTCTTAACTAAGTTTTTTAAATGTAAAATAAAATATATGCTGTATAATACAAATTTGCCTTCATGGTGTACTGGAAATATTGAAGGAAATGTCACTAATAAGCAGACATGTTCTAGAAAAGCAATAAATGATATATTATGTGAGTTTTAGCATCCATGATTCATACTTTAAATGTCCAGAGCAGGGTTCTTTGTCTGAAGCATGATTAAACATTTTTTATCTAGTTTTATGACTCCTTAGTATCATAAAGTGAACAGTGTTTTTTAGCATCGGCTGTACTTTCTAATGGCTTCCTTTACCTGTTGTTTTTCCTGTCGTTTCTTGTAAAATTATCATCCATCTTCATTCCCTCCTCTCCCTCTGTCCCCAGATTGAAGACCAGCCTTCCTACGAAATTAACATATACATGTACTTATACTTTGTCATCTTCATCATTTTTGGGGCCTTTTTCACTCTCAACCTCTTCATTGGTGTCATCATAGACAACTTCAACCAGCAGAAGAAAAAGATAAGTTTCAACTCTGATTAGCAGTAGCTTGCTGAGCTTTAGGATGATGGGACTTTGTCAAAGTGAAACTAGTTATTATTTACATCAAGATACTTAATTAATCACTGTGTTATGTAAGACAATAATGGTCATTATTAACTTTGAAAGCACTGGACCTCCCTGATGTTTATAGGAGAAATTCTCCACCATTTAAAAAAATCCCAAATCTTTCTCCTACAAGGGAAATTAATTTTAAAATTGCAGAAGTTTAATTGAACATTTTAATCCCGAATAGGGGCTAAAATAACATTTTCATTGCTTGCACTGGTTTTTTTTTTCCAATTCAAATATAACCATGGGACAAAAACGTATCAGATACTGTATAACAGCAAGGACAGACTGACTGCATCTGGCCACTGGGGCCGTACAACCACAATGATTGTTTCTTTTTTTTCTGTACTTTGGAGGGAAAGACATCTTCATGACTGAGGAGCAGAAGAAGTACTACAATGCCATGAAGAAGCTGGGCTCCAAAAAGCCACAGAAACCCATTCCAAGGCCCCAGGTAAGATGGGCCAGCTGCAAAACACAAAGATCAATGTGCTGATAATGATGTTGGTTTCAGGTTCAATTCCAGCCTGACTTAGTAAGGGCTGGAAACAATGGAGAAGGGTCAATTAAGAGCTCAGCCCAAAAGACAACCAGCTGACACAGGGATTCCTGAGAGTGTGCATTGAGAATTACTCACCTATAAGGTTTAATGCAGTTATCATGATTATTGGCAGAAGCCAGGCTGGCCCTGGTCAGTACTGGGATGGAAAACCAGCTTGCTGTTTAATTAGTCTTGGCTGGACCAGCAGGTGACCCTTGCCTCCATATTGTATTTTCCAATCTTATACACCAGTGTAGTGACTGGGGACACTGAGCTGTAAAAGGCTGGGTGAGATGTTGAATTGAGGACGTCTTGACAACTCAGATGTTGAAGTTGTTTCTTACTTCTCCATCTGATCTGCTGTGTAGAGGGGCTGTTGGCACTTAATGGCTGCTGGGCATTACCCAGGCAGGCACTGCACTTCAGATAACCGTTAAGGTTATCTCTGTTTAGGATTCTCAGATAACCGTATAGACAGCAGGGTCCTCTGTTAAGTCCACTGGAGTAAAAAGCCTTAAGTAAATGTAATTTGTCGTCATCATCCTGACCTAGATTAAATGTAACTCACAGGAGCTGCAATTATTTATCGACATTCAAATGTATTAATATTTTGGAACTTGTGATAATGGCATTAAACTCGCCTGTCTGATTGATCCACCAAAATGCTCCTGCTTTGAGCAGTGGTCCTCATTTAAGTTGTTATTGTGAACATTGGACGTCTCCTACATTATTTTAATTGTTCTTATACTCTTGGGCCAATAGTCTTGGACCTGTGCACTGTAACACATGGGATGAGTTGAATGTGTAAGTATTGCCTGTTGCTTGTTGCTTGTTGCCCATCAGTGACAGGTATCTCCAGTCTTTGGTGAGCAGGAGTCCTGCAGGTTTTACAGGCGTTTCCTTCTTTTATCCAAATAACACATTTGGCCAAATCGTTAAGATCACAGTTGCCATGAAAGCCAGGGGACAGTCCAGGACCCACTCCTCATGTAGGTATTGTAGTATTTTCGGGTTCGGCGAGGACGGACACAGTGACTCAGACACTCGTTACGTGAAAACGGTGCTTTTTTATCTTTCACCAAAGCAAGTACAGCACCTGCCTTATTTACAGAGGGAGAGAGAGTGAGAGAGAGCAAGAGAGAGACAGAGCAACACACTGGGGTCTATTCCGGTAGTTACATAGGGATAGGGTGGTAATTGGGTACAAGTATAACAGGGGTACGAAACCAGGTAACAAGAATCCGGGCGATCTCACCAACAGTACGCCCCTTTTGCAATGGGTCAGCTGCACTGGTCAGCGGCTTTCCTAGTCCCCGCCCTGAACTAAACTACTCCCGTCCTGCCCCTCGCTACGTACCCCAGCCGGGCACTCTTCAGCTGTAGCGCCATGCCAAGGTGCTACAGTATATAAGCAGAAGTACTGCTGTGCTGACATGGAGTATGGTAGGTAGTCAAGTTAATGTTTTAGTGCAATATATTTTTTTTAATGGGCAAGCTCAACAGAGGCTTGCCCATTGGCTTTATGTCTCCACAACAAGGCCACAGTCTGTCCAAGATGTCTGCACGATCCCTCTCGTTAGCGATAACAGGAAGCTGTAGAAGCCAATGCTGAATTTGCCATTTCAAAGTTCTCACCTCCCTAACACTGGCATTGTGTTTTCTTTTTTTCTGTGTTGTTGTTCTTCTTCTCTCACCGCCTCACCCCATCAAGAACAAAATCCAAGGGGCCGTCTTCGACTTTGTCTCCAGGCAATTCTTTGACATCTTCATCATGGTCCTGATCTGTCTGAACATGGTGACGATGATGGTGGAGACGGATGATCAGAGCCCGGCGAAGGAAGAAATCCTCAACTGGATTAACCTGGTGTTCATTGTGATCTTCACTGGCGAGTGCATCCTCAAAATGTTCGCGCTACGATACTACTTCTTCACCATTGGATGGAACATTTTTGATTTTGTTGTTGTCATCCTCTCCATAGTGGGTAGGTCTCTACTACCAGTTCCCGTTTGCCTGTCAAAGAATTAAGATTGTGCTTGACTAAGAATGCGCTGCAACAGAAACTTGCATGGGTATACTGTATAAAGCTGTGAGTTATAATCTAAGACCCAAGTGGAGAACATGATAGAGTGAAGGTTACAAACCAGTGGAGGCCTTTTCCAGCTCTAGCTTGTTTCATCCAGATGTTCATCTTAGAGGGGGATTATGTCACGATACAGTTCTTTCCGGGACCAATGCAGACGACACAATCCGGGGTAGTGAGGAAACACTGGGGAGAAAAGCATGCAGGATTCGGGAATAAAAACAGGGGGGCGTGTCCAAGGAGTGCTGGTGGTTGGGGAAGGTGTAGCGAGGCAAACAATCCGGAGACGAGTCCAAAGAGAACTCCAAAACTAGGCAAACGTCCATGGCCAGGTGATCCATCCAAGACAGGAGATTAAAAACCAGAACCCGGTCGGGACTGGCAGGAGGAATGGGAACAGGAACAGAAACTTAAAACCATGATGGAGCCAGACGCATCCAGGACCCGGGCTCGCAAGATACGGGAACCAATGCAGAGCCCTGATTAGTGTCAGCGTCTGGCTTTTAAGGGGGAAATGAAAAGGGGCTGGAATAAGGAACTGGTGTGGGGAATGAGGCAAAACAAGGAGGGGCTGGAGCGCCCTTAAGAGGAAGGGTTTGCGATCGTGACAGATTAAAGTTTGTTTCATACATGCAGCTAAACGTGATGGCTAGAGCTGGACAATTCTGCTGACTGTTTTTAATGAGGGATACATTTTCTTCCAGGTATCATGTTGGCCGACATTATAGAGAAATACTTCGTCTCCCCCACTCTGTTTCGAGTCATCCGGCTGGCCAGGATCGGACGTGTTCTCCGCCTCATCCGAGGGGCGAAGGGCATCCGGACATTGCTGTTTGCCTTGATGATGTCACTTCCAGCTCTGTTCAACATAGGGCTGCTCCTCTTCCTGGTGATGTTCATTTACTCTATCTTCGGGATGGCGAACTTCGCATACGTCAAGAAGCAGGCTGGCATCGATGACATCTTCAACTTCGAGACGTTTGGGAACAGCATTATTTGCTTGTTCCAGATCACCACCTCGGCTGGCTGGGATGGCCTTCTCCTTCCGATCTTAAACAGCGGGCCACCCGACTGTGATCCTGATATCGAGCACCCGGGCTCTGATTTCAAGGGGAACTGTGGCAACCCAGCAATGGGCATCATGTTTTTCTGCAGCTACATCATTATATCCTTCCTGATCGTGGTCAACATGTACATCGCCATTATCCTGGAGAACTTCAACGTGGCCACAGAGGAAAGTAGCGAACCCCTGTGTGAAGACGACTTTGAAATGTTCTACGAGACCTGGGAGAAGTTCGATCCAGACGCTACCCAGTTCATCGAATACTGCAGGCTCTCGGACTTCTGTGACACTTTGCAAGAACCTCTGAAAATTGCCAAACCCAACAAAATCAAACTGATCTCCTTGGACCTTCCCATGGTGCCTGGAGACAAAATCCACTGCCTCGATATCCTGTTTGCCTTAACCAAAGAGGTCCTGGGAGATTCGGGAGAAATGGACGCACTGAAGGAGAGCATGGAGGAGAAATTCATGGCAGCCAACCCTTCCAAGGTGTCCTACGAGCCCATTACCACCACCTTGAAACGCAAACAGGAGGAGGTGGCAGCAAGCATCATCCAGAGAGCTTACCGGAGACACCTGCTGAAGCGTTCGGTCAAGCATGCTTCTTACATGTTCCGACACCATGACTCTGAGCAGGAGCGGGGAGAGGAGGCTCCGGAAAAGGAAGGGATGATCGCTGAAAAGATGAATGAAAACTATGGCGGGAAGCCGGCAGTGGAGGTCACCAGTGACGTTGTCCTGCGGTCAGCCCCACGCACAGCAGCAGGTCCCTCTGCATCTGGGGGAAACATCAGAGAGTCTATCGTATAACAGACAGCATGTACCAAAAAAGCCCACCCTTTGTCTTCCTCTAGTATTAAAGTAGAAAGTCATCCTGCTACATACTACTGCCTGCTGGATCCTCACAAAAGTGGACTTTGTGTGCCTACGTGGGTAGCGAAATCGTGGCTCTGGTCATAACGAATATGACACTAATTTGAGAGGTTTGCACATAGCCGATTTAAATTAGCCAGGGGTATTCAAAGACTGAAGTAGGATTGCTGGAAAATACTGTAATGTCTTTCTGGTGAATAGTTTTATGACATTAACTGAAGGACTATGACATTCACATTGAAAACCATCTCCTTTTCCCAATACTGTGAAACAGGAGTTTGGGAGGGAAGTTTTGCTCACGATAATAATTTGATTTTATAGTCAATCGTTTCAAAGTCAAAGTGCCTCACCATTCATAAGCGCGATGTGATGTTCATGATGGCACATCATGTCTTGCTTTATCCCAAACTCAAATTGTCCCAATACAATCAGTCACAGATGTGGTGAGTGGTTCCTGAATTCTGGTTCTTACCTGACGACGGTCTGAGACCATGTAACTTTGAATAATGCAAACAAATTTTTCACCACCCCAAGAGTTATAAATCTTGTAGAATTCCTGTCTTCCTGTGTCAATGCAAAACCAATCAAGTGGGTTGGTGTATTGTAGGGGAATATGTGGCAAGAGATGACAGTTTGAATAAAAAACAAACTTAAGATTAAATGGATTCTATAAAAGTGTCCAACAAGGTTATCCAATTATTAAACAGAAAAACTTTATTTGAAAGTGTTTTAACAGATTCAAATTCAAACGCCAGTGTACTCAATTTCATTTCTAGGGTGAACAGTTCAGTCAGCTATACTAATGATTCATGAATACAAAATGACTGTAAACAGCGCGACATTCACACACAGAGAGTAAGAAAATATCTGTATTTTTAAAATGTCCAGTACAGTGTATGACAGATGTAAATAAGGCAGTTGTCTTTTTAGAACAGTATTGCCTGTTTAAAGATATCTGTAGCACAGATTATTTAATATAAGGTAAAACTAAGACATGCTGTAAAATCCAGAAAAGTTCAGGGTTCATGACTGAAAAAGGGAAACACTATTAATTGCAGCTTTTTTCATTGTTGGCTTTGCTATCAGTAGAACCCACAGCTAGAAATAAACTTTTTTGTTACCATTCTTCACCATTACAGATAGTGAGAAAGAAGGACTCTGCTCAGTCTTGAAACTCAAAGGCTTCATTCTCCTTTTCCCCATCAAACGCAGTATTGTGTAGTGAACATTGTCCTAATTGAAAAATGGACTATAAATCAGAACTGGTAGTGTGCTACAGCTGCAGTTCTTATTTCTGCCACATGTGTCTCAAAGTGATTGCCTAATCTTGCTTCAGTTATTTTTTTAAAATATATTTCTTGCAATTTTAGCACTTGACTGCCAATGATACATTGTGTTGTGCAATAACACGTTATTACACGTTAGGGTGATGCCTTTATTTGTTATCTGCCTTAAAAAAGGATTATAGTAGTATGACGTCTATGGCTGCTTTAAAGGTTAAGATAGCCTGCCTTATGTTGAAAGCTGTCCTTGTCTTGCTATTCACATTTTCGAGATTGTCAGATGAAACTTTTGTACCCTTTTGTATTGCAGGTAAAGTGGGCAATTCTAAAAAAAACAATGACACAGAGAATTTTAAACCAACAACTACGACTGTCATGTTGCTTAGCGCTGGCCCCTTACCGCATTTAAAAAGCATTTAGGAAACAGGTTTACCAACGTGTAACCAAATTTATTTCTTTGTCTACCTGATTTAACAAGTGGGGGCTGTGCATTTACTATCTAGAAATGAAGGAGGATTATGGATTGATCTCTAATCTGTGAACTGCGGACAGTCTTTCGGGACTCTAAATGAAACCAGCGAGCTCTCGCCTATCCAGTTATGGTGTTGCTGAAGCAATCTGATTCAAGAGGCTGTGCTTTAATTTGTGATGTTTCGCACTGTGGCACCTACAAAGGAGTTCAGCACAACAGATGAGGCCAGTCAGGTTTATCTGTCGCTCCCCACTGGCTCCATGTGATTAAAAAGCAAATAGGCTGCACTTTGCTTTCAAACATGCAGATGTGTCGCATTTTTTTTTCTTCGTCTCTGGCTTGGTTAATACCAGTTTTTTTTTCTGTTCCTATGGCTCATTGCATCACTGAACGAAAGAACACGCCTGTATTATTCAGCCACTTTTGTTAGCTTCGTTTTCTCACATTGAAGAGATTTGCTTTGTTGTCTCTCAGTCACAATTGCATTTGATCAGTTCAATTTCGCCAGCCCCAAACAAAAAAGCCTTATATGGTATTGCTTTGACGGTAAATCACAATCCAACAGACTTCATCACAGACAGTGGTTTAAAAACTGCCATGCACATCCGGCTCTGTAGGTAGTGTCTGTGGGTGCGTGGGCATGGAATGTGACTTGATTCTTGTGAAAATCCAGAAACAAGTGCTTTCATCTAGCCCGAACGAAACTTGATCTTAGTTCTGCATTTCACAAGTTGCTTTTCCACTGCTCTGCCACAATACCTGCATGTTGAGATGTATTGGTGTGTAAAAGCCAGAGTTTTAAGCCACATGCACCAGCAGTTGTATGTTGCTCTATCCAGTCCCTGATGTTGACCTTCCATTGGTTGGGATCTGGCAAATAGCCCCAGCGCAGCAACATGTTCGGAATCTGTGTCTTGGCTAGTAGGCAGAAAGTCTATGTAATCAAGTCCTACGTCTTGGGGAAGCTTAATTTAGAGATGTGAGTCAATAAGGTAACCCTAGGGCACTGCACAGGTGTGATATCATTTCACAGACCCTCTCCCACTGTTACACAGTCAAGACGAATCAACGCTGTTCACTGGTTTCATTGCAGCACTTGTGGAAGACTGTACTTCGTACTTTAAAAAGAAAAGTAACTTTTCTTTTACGTGGAGAACAATGTTTTCACAATCAGCGATGCACTTTCTTAAAGCAGTTAAAGAGGATAAAAAATATAAAAGTCTTAAAGGACAAATGTCTTAATTGTGGGGGTTTAAAAGCTCATTAAAAGCACTTTTATTTATCCAATATTTTGTGTGCAAACAGTAGTTTTAATTTTTTTTTTGCTTTATGTATTTTTCTCAGAGGATCTCGTTGTAGGCAATTTCAGTAATCGCTTTGTGTATTTTGGGGATGCTATTTTGAGTCGAGGGAAAATCTGCAGTGGGGGGACTGCTAGGAGTATAATATGATTATTGATTATTGATTGATGATTGAATCTGTTTGCTCGCTGCTCCTTTCTTGGCAGTATTTGTCCAGAAGAAAAACATGACAGGCAGGTTGTAGTTCCAAGAGAGAAAACCAGCTCTCACAGGAATTGAGAAGTTATTTCAAAGACTGCTTGGCACTGGGGTTATCAATATTATTGATTGATCAGTTTACAACTAATAAAAAGAATTCTAAAATGTCATCTTTGAATGATCCATAATACTGACCAAATGGAGTCCTGTGATGTATTTACCTATTTTCTGTTTTTCAGTATAGCCATCGTTTCTCTCAGGTGACAATGAAAGCATCTGTTACTCAAAAGCAGGTTTAACACAGACAAGTAGAGCGCATTTGAGCCTCAGACGCATTAAATCATCAGAACTAGATGACCTCTTGTTTTAGGCTTCAGAAAGAAATCGCTGACGAGAAATGGAGTGGTGCGCATTTTTTTTAAAGAAAATTTTCATTAAAATGGCTGAACATTTTCAGCTCTGAGCTCTTCCTCTCTCCCCTAGCCTGGTCCCACTCATTTGCCAGAAATGGATGCACAGAAGCTCAAAGCCAAAAAGATGAAGCTATATACACAGCCTGTGTTTCGAATATTTAATTTGATTTAATATGCTGTTTTACATGCTTCACCTAATGACTATTTGCAGTTTGTCAAGTTACAGAAGTAGTTTATTATTAAGTTTATACTAAACCATACAGTATTATCAGTATAGTTTATAATATAAATATTCTGTGTTGCCTGAGTATTAATAACAAGGCCGCTGTTGCCATTTTGCAATTATTGGTAACCTGTAAATTATATATATACCATTTGTTTACATTTCTAATTGTATGGAAACTCATTTTCAGTACCAGACGTTGTATGTGTACTGTCAGTGTTGCCTGTACATACTTTTTGCTCAGTGCTAGAAGTGATTTTTAAGACTTTATTCCTTTGTATTATCTATGTGAAAAGCCCTTTACTTTGTAAAACTATTATAGCATAGAATATTGTAAATGATGAAATAAAGGGATACAAGATGTTGTTTTTTTTCTGTTCTCTTTTCAAAGAGATTGGCCTGGAGACAGATATTCACATATCACTATCTGTAGATTCGATTTCTTGCGGGTTTTTTTTTTTAACTTTCCAGCATATACCTGTACATTTGTGCGATTTGTGCCGAGGTTTGTGGATAATGGTAGTAGAAATGATTTAACCGGCACGTCTTTTATCATGATTTAACTGGAGACTTTCTCCAAATCGAGTTTAATTCATAGGTAGAGTACGAGAGGTTTTACTGAGAAGATTGTCTTTTGCAGAGCTCATTCTGTTTATACGTATTGAGTTATTTTTGTAGGCACGGTTTTTTTTTATCTATTAGATGATTTTCATTGCCAAGACAATTCGTCCGTTATTATCTATTATCTAAGATCTCTTTTCAACAAGGCTCCCTCTAGTGGACTGCTTTGGCACAGCTTGCAACGCCTCCAAATTCTTGCAGAAGAGCACTTTCTATTTTTGTCTCTCACTTCCAAGTTCGTGGCATTTCTTTAACCTCAGGTAACAAGCTGTCGTAAAGTTAGGGATTAAAAAATGATAGATCTCTTTAGTGTGAGAGTCCTACCCCCCTCTGATTAATTACGTTCCAAACTGTTCTGAAATTGTAACGTGTGATTGGCGTTGTGAAGTGCTTAGGATGTCCGTGTAATCTAAACTCGTTACGTTTTTAACAGAGACAGCTATTTAGTTGTCGCTTTGTTTTTAGAAAAAAAAAATTATCTGATTGTCATACCAACCCTCTTGATATCCATACGGATAACATCAGATTAAGCTCACTGATTGCAGTTAATCATTCAGCTTTGATCATTTCAATAAAAACAGCTTGTGAGAAGTCGTCTTCAGGCCTGCTTGGAAGTGTGCTGGGAGAGCCTAATCAGGCTTTTCTTCCTCTCATTCTGAGTCTCATCTCTGAGTCCTTTTTTGGCTCTAGAGTGGTTATCATTGAGTAAAGTTGTTCAGCTAGAAACCATTGTGCATGACCATATGTATCAGACCCTGCTTGATGCACAAGGCCAGTCTATCAGTTAGGGATGTAGTTCTAATCCTCCCGTTTTAAATCATGTATAATTTTATCCAATGTGTTACAAAAAACACGCGTCTACTCTGGAAGGTTAATTCTCAGCTTTAAAGAAATGTTGTAAAGAGACAGGTTAAAAGTATGGAATCTCACTAGTCATGAGCAGAGGAAACTGTATAGGGGCGTGCTAGAATTAGGAATCAGGATGTGTTTCTCTGCACAAAGAGTGGTGGAGGTCTGGAACAAACTGCTCTGCCGAGTTACTGAAATTGATTCTCTGGGGACCTTCACCACACTGCTCTACAAGGGCCTTGGGTATTGGGGCGATCAGATGAGCAAACGGGTGAAATTCCTCCATTCTAAGGGCCTTTTAACACAGTTCGGTCGTTGTCGTTTCAGACCTGCTTGTTTTAGCTCGGCTGGGCTGTCTGTATTAGATGACTGCATGTGCGAGGGACTAGCCAAACTAGTGACCCTGGGCTCCTGCATCAGCCTCTGCCCACTTGGGAGCAGGGCTGGCAGCTGACTCGTCAGCAGATGGGATCACAGCCTATCTTGGCAGCTGTTTGTGCAGGGCAACATGAGACGACACAACTGTTTTGACTGGAAAGAGAGACCAGGCTGGAGGAGCGATGGTCGCTGTGCCTTTGCTCTAACTGAAGGCTGCAGCCCTGCCTTCCTAGCCCTGAAACGATAGGGTGGGGAAGAGAGGTCAAGTACTATCAGAAGAGGGCACTTCAATGTCCATCTGGTGACCTGCTCAGCTCTGTGGTCAATGGGACAGGGATAGGTCATTTATTCTTGACGATCCAACCCACTGCATGCCGCAACTGAAGATGCCTTAGATGCATTGCAATAATGCATGTTTTTAATAAAAAATGTATTGCAATCATATACAGTTTTTTTTAAATTGACTCAATCACTCACTGCCTCGCTTAGTTTTTAAACATTAACATCATTACTGCTTCAAAGGCCTTCTCAAAGCAGTAATAGGATAAAAACTGTTTAAAATTTTTTTTTTGGTCTTGTTTCTGACAGCCAGGAGCAGCTCGCTTAAAAGAAACATCCCACTGCCTGGCCTTGACCTAAAACAGGGCCTCTGTGTTCACCATGGTTCAGTGAAGTCAACACGCAATGCTCTAGGGACAGCTTCTCAACACAGGATCTGCAGCTTCTGAGCAGCGCTGTTGCTAAAATAAAAACAGCAACACTCTGAAGCCTGTTTTGCATGCTTAGGAAGGCCTGATGTAACTTCAGAGCCTCCGAGTGTTCCTCTTGTACGTTCATTGTTTTCTAAAGTGTAACAAAAACACTTTTGTAAGTTTGTCAGACACCAAGAAACCACTCGAAAGTGTCTGTGGGGGTGGTTGGCCTTTAGCCCTTTTACTTTTCATTTACTTTTACATTTTTCAACACCAGCCCCCTTGCTGGGAAATGCATTTGTGCCACAAAGAATACCCAGATTCCAGCCGTGGATGGTGCCAGGGCTGGCATGCATGCCTTCACAGCTTCATTGCCACCCAGGTCAAACCCCCTCCCCATCCTGAAAGTTCAGACTTGAACTTCTTCTCTTTGTGCTTGTGAATTCAGATACCCCTGTGCTCTGCCAGTTGCTCTCTGGTTTGCAGCAGGTGTCAAGAGGAATGCTAAAAACGTACCCCCCCACCCCAATTAGACCAAGCAGTACTCAAGTTCTCAGTCTATTTGCTTCCTGGCCATGGGTGAGCATTCCTGACATCACTGTGGTATTGTTCTGATGCTCATCATGGCTAAACATTACTCAGGGCCCTCTTGTGTGCACGTGCTTGCAAGTTCTGCAGGACCTAAGGTGCCCAGCATACAAATAAAAACTGGGAGTAAGAAAAAGAGCTATTCCAATCATGCAAAATATTGTTTGCTTATTGACGTTTCCCCAGCTTTGCATGATTTGTTAATAGAAATTCTCGTTCTATTTGTGAATATTATTCTGTTCTATTTGTTAATGGAAAGCATAACTCAGTCTATTAATGTGTCACTTAGCATTTACTGTAGATGACACCTTAATCAAAAGGAAACTCAAAGGCACCAGACTGGATAGTGCATTAGCAACATCTGCTGCAGACTTACAGTAGGCCCAGAGCGATAGATTTTACCCCAAATGCAAGGGGGTTCACTTGCTTCCAAACAAACATCAATGTTCTGAATTGCTCAGATGCACAGCGAGTCAATGACAAAGTCAGGGTTTGGTGCAGGAACCTGCATGTAGTGAGCATGTGCAAGTACAAGTCAAGTTAGATTAAAGCCGACTTTTCTCTCAACCTTTTTTTTTTCGTTACCTTATTGCTAGTCACGTGTTTTCTGTGTATCAGCTGCTATGGTAAGTATTGCATCCAAACGCACCACTTGCTTAAGCTGCCAAACAGGGGCTGGACTGCAGGAGAAAACTGGGCTTGCAAGCTTTTGGGAGTCCAGGTGAAGTTGCTGTGCTAAAGATCTACACACTTTCTGAATGAGTTTACTTTGACAACCCAAAGTGCAGCAGCACCTAAGAATCACACAGGAGGCTTATAGCATGGTGCAAAAAGCCTGGGCTATTTTCAACTTGATGGATTCATCTAAATCTTCACAAAACTAAAATGATCCAAAATCCGGTATTTCAAAACTGAAATGGGGTGAAATCCGTTGCTCTGAAAAGTTTGAATGAAGTGATTTCTTTGTCTTTTGGCCAGCGTGCCTCTTAGCCCTTCTGAACTACAGGTCTGCAGACAGTGTCCGAATGAAGTTTTAAATGGAGAACAGCCTTTCCAAAATTGCACTCAGAAAAATAATGCTGGGTAAAGTGGTCCCCGTCCCCCACCCACCGGGCTCTGCCCAAATTATTATTCTTTTAATCTTCAGTAACAGGGACGCAAGTAACTGCTTCCAATTTTAATGGGAGGTTATTTGAGAGGTGCTCAAGTTAAGCAGTGGCAACTAAAAAAGACCATACATTAACAGCACACCTCTGGGGTGGGGGGGTCATGTAACTTAGAGAGCTAGAAGGGTTTAATAACCATTTACTATTCATAGAATGCTTTTGAGACATGCCTGTGTTCCTCAGCCAAAACCCAGCCATTCATTACTTCACATGACAAGGACACACAGCAGTTGTCTCTTCCACTCTCTGCAATTAGCAAATAAAATGGCTCCTAATTAAGGTCCGTCTAAGCAAGTCTGGGAAGGTCTTTTCCTTTCACCCCTGACCTTAATTGCCTGTTCTTTAGATAAGCAGTCAGGTCAGCTGCATTGGCTTCAGGTCTTTGACAACTGCTGATTGAAGAGCAACCAGTAAAACCTACAGCAGACACTTCTAGTTGTGCTCCACATACCTGCAGGTCTCTTCACTGAATCGAACTCTTAATGGACCTAACACATTGCATGACTGGAAACTTTGCAAGTTTTTTTTTCTCTATTCTGAAGCTTGGAAATTCAAGTTACTTGTGACCTGCGATCGCTAAAAGGTGGGCCTCTGCCTTCTTTAAGGGCTGAAAGCAATCAAACAGTTATTATTTGACTGGTTAAGGGTTAAACTGTGTAACAGAGCGCTCAATTCTAAAAAAAGCCAGCAGGAATGTGGGCCTCCACCGTTCCATACAGAACTCTGAAGGAATGCAGTTGTCCATTTCCTGTTTGGATAACACCGGGATGTTGCACAGAAGCAGTATGGAGGCCTGGGAGAGTCAAGAGAGTCCAATTCCTACAAGTGCCAAGAAAAAAAACAAAATAATCAAGGATCTCTCATGGTAAAGGTCATTGCATTATGTGACTTGAAAGGAAGATATCCACAAGTTAGTGGATCAGTGTAAAATCCTTCGTGCAATGTGTTGTGGATGTTCTCTCCTCTTATTGCATTCCAGGCTTGGCTGTACAAGACTGTCACAAGTCTTGGTGCTGCATTGGTTTGTCCAGAGTGATCACAGCTATTATCTGACCTCGGCTGCACTGGAGGAGACGCAGTCCAGGAAGTGAACAATCTGCACGCATTTCGAATGACTGGGATCAGCCACTCGCTCAGACATCGCGCACATACAGTAGGCGGCCAGATGGCGGTCGCATCACACACGTTTTCCGAAAGCAATTTGTACAGTACAGTATGTGTGCGTTAAAATACAGAGCGATGAGTTTCATGAAAAAGCTCATATCAACCTATTGACAAGTCTAATGTCAAGCAGTAAACCGAATTATGATGCTAGATTTTGGTATTTCATCTTAAATTGGATAGATTCTCGCTCAATGTGATGTCAACATGGCTGGTCCAAAAAGTGTTTTTTAAATCTAAGAGTTAAAAATTTAACTCCAACCCGAAACATTTACCTATATTAAATATCAGTCATCCAGGCTCAGGACGGGCAATGCCCTGTGAAGCACTGTATGCATGCATGCAGATCGCTGACTTGCTCTTATTTGCATCTCGGGACAGTCCCTGCAATGCTAGCTCATTATCTTGAAGGAAGTACAAGCCAAGCATATCGAAACATGCTCACCAGCTCCCAGCAGAGAACTGTGACGGCTGAAACAGTCACAGTGGTGCCACTCGCATCTTGGGAGCCAAACTGCTAACTTTCAAGCAGCTTATTTGGATGCAAAAGAGCCATGGCATTGAGGATTGTACCCTGCGTCCTCTTTGGGAGTCTGTTCTCCTACTTGGTGAATGTATCAAGTAAGTGCATATATTTACTTGAATAATCTGATCAGTAACAACCTAGCAGTTTGATTTAGAAAGTATATATAGCCTTTCTTAGCTGCCTTACAGAGCCACCTGATTAGAATTTTGCAAAAAATATACTTCAGGGATAGTCATACAGTGTGGTTTCAGGTCAGGGAAGGGATGTTAACAACTGGTTGGGAGTTGCTTACCTAGGAGTACATTGTATTGTGTAAGGTTTGTCCTAAAACCCCATCAAATGTACATGTTAAAAGTATTTATTGTATAGATTTTGTGACTAAGCTGAACATATTCCTTTATCCATGATCATTTCATGAATTCAATCTGCCGAGTTGCTTTGTACTTACAATATTTTATTCCATCTACAATTTGTTAAAATGCCTTGAAAAATCTGCAGATGAGACTTTTGGACCTTTCTGAGACCTGGATGCAACGATTCAACGCACACACTGACGGCCACATGCTATGTACTTACATTACCTCTCACACAGTGATTTTATTCTTGCGCTCATGTTTGAGGTTGTTAACTCTATGTAAGAGGTCCCAGTTAACAAGAAAAAAAGAAATTAAAAAACAAGAACTCCCTCCTTTTCTGCATACTATACCAAGTCAGTTTTGAATGTATTGTTTTTTATAATCCAGTCACTTCCGGTCCACCTGTTTAAAACAACAACAAAAAAGAGGAAGTCATAAAACATTGCAATTCACTAGACTTGATACTGTAAGTGGTTGAGTAAGTGTATTTTTGGGTTTTAGTTGCTACATCTCCACCATTATCTAACGCCTATTATATAAAGACAAACCATACAAGTGAACAACCGATAGAGAATTTTGATGGAACATCTCTTTTTAAGGAACAAAATAAATTTGCATTTCTTTTGCTACTGAACAAATGCTTTAATCCAACACAACTGTAGACATGAGCAATACCATATCATTTTAGGTGTAAGTTAAAACCATTTATTGTTTCATAAGTGATTTATTGATCCTTTAATCCTGAAAACAATATACTAGTGTTAGTTTGATACATGAATGTGCAGTATGTGCCTCATCCAGTAAGCAATAGTTGAATAATATATATTATGTATTTATTACTGACAAAAGGAAAGATTATTCTTATTAGTAGCAGTAGTAGTGGTATTTTGGGAAAGAGACAAACAATTACATGTAGCAGGAGAAATATCTTCATTTTCCTGTTTTTTCCCAAGTCGTGCCAGTGGGGGGCGATAGAGTGCATCAGAAGCCACGGTTCCTTGGTGTCAGAAGTGGGAGCGCCATCAGCATGTTCTGCTACATATCACTGGGTAATCATACCAATGAGGTGCAGTGGGTAAAAACCCTGAAGCACGATGCCAGTGATGAGGTGCTTGTCACGGAGAGTGACACTGTGAAATTCAAAGGCTCAGTCAAGGACAACAACAGCACCATCACCATCGTGGGGGTCAGGAGTGAACACAGTGGAATTTACTTCTGCAAATATGATTCCGTGAAAGGCCCTGGCTCAGAACTTCTGGTATACAGTAAGTGTTGCACAGAGTAGTGCTTGACATCTATCCCTGTTGGAATATTCAAGGAACTACTGTGTTTTTTTGGTTTATGGTATTGTATTAACTTCTCTGGAGTCCTCATGTTCTTCTATCCTTGAGATTAAGCCCTGATCACCTTGTGAGTCGTCAGTACAGAAAGAACTTTTATGCTCTTTACTGTTGGCATTTGATGTTTGTTGTGGCACCCTGGGTCCTTCCAGAAATGGACTGATGAAGTTCTGCAATGGATTGACCAAGACTGACCAGACTGACTTCCATGCATGTCTCACGTGCTTGTGTTTGTTCTCCAGGTAGTTTAAAACCCGAAGATGCTTTGAAAAAGAGCAAGATGAAGGATGCCATCATTTTGATCCAAACCTTTCTACTGGTGCTGTGCATCCTTGTCCCACTCTTGTGGTTTAAATACAAAGTAAGTGCAGACTGTGGCTTTCTGAAAACTGAGATGGAGAGTTAGCTGTTTAGCAGTCCCTACTGAGTCCCCACTGAAAATGAAATTCCTCTGCCTTGAAAAGCTAGTCTTTAGCCACACTTGTCACGATTTATTCCTTCATTAAAAAGTGCTTTGGTTACACATTCATAGAAAAGGTAGTATTTGCATTACTATGGTAGCAGAATAATGTTTAGTGTTCCTACTTTTTCAATTGAAGTTTTTGACACTATGCATTTCAAAATGTGATAAAAAAAACACCAACATTATTTCAAACAAAGTCTCAGCTTTTTGTAAAGCTTAAAAATTCACTGCTCTGAGCCCCTGAATATACTCTACCATTGATTTCTAACTGGGATCTTTTTTTTTACAAACAGAAAAACAGTAAACACTGTTGAGAGTCATGATCATGATGGGGCTTGGGAAAGTTTTTTTTTTATTGTGAGGATTTTAATTATTTGCATGTAATTACTGTAGTTGCCTTCTTAAAAGGTACTCTATTTAAGAATTATTTCTTTTAGGGGAAATCAGAAGATCGAGACTATGAGGAACCTGAAGATGATCATACATATGAGGTATGATTTGCTTGGAATGGTTGTTTTTCATAATGTCTCTTTTTATAAAACATCTTCTGCCTCACCTGAAGCTTATCTAAGTTTTTCTGAATTCGGCACTGTAGCACAGCTAAACCAGACAGTGCAGAGTTATAATGAAAAGGATCACACCCCTGATTCTTTATCAAGGATTGTGCCATTAAGCATGGGCAATCTAACCCAGCTTGCATGTGTTTGGGAAGTGAGACGAGCTCTAAATGTCCAGAGACAGCTAGGAAAGCATGCCAACTCCACGCAGGAGGTGCACCAGTCCAAAATCGAATCCAAAATTGAACAAGTACGATGCAACAGTGCTAGCTGCCACTCCACCCTGCTGCTCTTCTGTTTTCTGTAATACTGTAACCAAAGAGAAACAATCAGTAAAAATAACAGGAAACTGTTCATATTCAGTTTCTGGCGCAGCAGAGATCATAGAACCATAGAAACTGAAGAACTGCGATCTCTCAGCCTCTAAGGATGAAGAAGTGGCCTGTTCCCGATCACTGATTTGCATGATTCTTTCTTACTTGCCAGTGAAGCACAGCTCTCTCACAGCCAGTGCTGTGCCGGTAGAAAGCAAATTAAGCGTCAGGCCACATTTCTTTAATGGCGAGAGTCATAGCTTGCTAGCAGAGCGCCATCGCAGACCTGAAGCCCTTCCGTTCTGATGAATATGGCACCTGGGTCACTTCGTCTGTCCTCACCTGCCTGCCTGCCCGCGCTGCTCTCGTTGCAGGGGCTGGAGATCGAGCAGTGCGCTATGTACGAAGACATTATGACGTTGCGCCAGACGCCTGAAACTGCCTGGGAACAAGGAGAGCACCCCTGCCAGGAGTGAGGGTGAAGCCTTTGAATGCGGCGAGATCCTGAACAGGACGCCACCCAACAGTTTAAAAACCTCCCCCCTGTGTTGCGTGCAACTCTGACTCCCAGCCTTTGCCCTTGTACATCTGAGGTGGATGCGGTTTTTGCTGTGTCTCAGCCACCCCTCTGCTGCACAAAACGGGCTGTAATTTACCCAGAAGTAAATAACAGAATCTATTTCTTTCACATCCAACAAGGTGCATGGAACACACTGACAGGGCAGTAGGTTTCCATTTTATCATTCACTGTACATGATCACAAAGGAGGGGAAGTTGAGCAAACAGAACAGGTGGTTTCCTGTGGGGCATGGCTGGATTAATTTCATTACATGCCCTGCAGGGCTGGTTGAGATACACCACCTTAATTACGTTGTAGCAGTGTAACTCCACCTTAGACACATACTGTACACAAAACTGTGCACTGCATATATGCACTATCTATATTGTACACACATTATGGTTGCCACTGGAACATAGGTGCATAAAAATCGTATTGGCGCAGATACATATTATTGTTTATAATGAAACATCCTCTTATCCTGCAGTGTAGGGAATAAATGCAACACTGCTGGAAAATCTAATGTTACTGAATAGACTTCAAAGAGCACTTGTGCCTTTTTTCAGTTTATTTCAAAGCTTTCTGGATGGCCTGTTTTTTTTTTTCTCTGCTCTATCTGGAGAGTCGGGCCATAATTTAACTATTGTTAATAACTAACGGGGTGGGGGGTGAATTCCATATTAACCATGATTGAATAGTTCTGCAATAACTTTCTGGGCAGACCTGCGATGTGATTATTTTCATACAGAGGGAAGAAATGATGTAAAAATGTCTTCTGCTGAGTTATGGCACAGCACTAGAACTGAGGTTGCAGGGATGACCGGGACCAAACTCTGTGTGCTTGAAATCACACAGTGGACAGGTGGCCAGTTTTTTCTCCACTTCTTTGTGATGTATACTGTAATTCCCTCCCCACTGCGGACCCACACAAGAAAAGGAGATGGAGAACAGTAAAATTGCCCTCCTCCTTTCCTGTTCTTGTTATATATATAGTCCAGCCCTCGACTCACCCAGTTCTGCATGGCTGAACCCTCCCCTGATGTCTCCGAGGGTGAGAGCTGCAGCTAGCCTTCAGTGCAGTGCAGACCCAGCCAGTTTCCTCTCCCCTCCTCTCTCTCACCATGGCGGTGCCTCTGCAGATATCAGTCTAAAGCTGGCCGCTCAGCTGAGCTTCGCTGAGTAGCTGAGTTCACACCTCTTCTTTGACATCAATAGGACTTTGACTCAAGGACTATTGAGTGCTGTATCATAAATTTTGAGTGTTAACTAATAACTAATTTACTACTAAACTAGCCAGTCCATTTCCCTATTAGCATTAATAGTCTTGCTTTGTGTTTTGGTGCTCAGTACTTTCAGTGATGAAGCAACCTAATACCTAATAGCAACCTAATAGCACAGACAAATGTAATAAAGGAGCACTAGATAGACCCTCCTGTGCTCTCGAGCGACGTCTTTGTGGCATACTGCGCACAGAATCTATCCCACTGCTCCCCAGAATCCTCTTTCTCCTGCTCTACACAATATAGAAGAATTGTGTCATCTACCTCTTAAGACAAACTGTATCATTAGCTGTAATTACATATCATTTGCGTCACGATAAATTTCTGGGCATTGGAGGTGTGGGAAAATTAAAGTGCTGCAAGAGAGACGTCACTCAGAGACGAGGCTCCAGTCATTCACCACTGAGGGCCAAAGCATAATAAATCCAGCTGATGGCATGGAATATTAATACTAATATTAATAATCAATATTAACAAAGAAGTAGACTGGACAGCAGTCACATTTAGAGATGTAATGGTGCTCAGAGGCCCTTAAGAGAACATCTGTTCATCCATATTTGTGTTTGTAGATCATTGATTTCATTTTGGGGAAGGATTTTCTGTTTTTTTTTGTGTGTGTAGCTGTCCTGTTCTGTACGTCAGTGAGTGAGGAACGCTGGCTGTGGGGAATAGATGAAGTATCACAGCAGAGATATCACAGCAGAGCTTTCAGATACAAGATCCGCCTGTTCATCTGGTGCTTCGTGGGGTTACAGGAACAAAGCTCCTGTGACATTTGAATGCGACTGGTTTTGTGTTTTTTAATGTCACAGAACCCCTACGATGGAATTGTTTTCTCATAAGTCACCCTCACAAGCCAACACATGATTCTATATATGAAAACTAAAGGGTGTCACAAGAAAGAAAAATGAGTCAGCCGGTGGTCTAAGATGGCTTTTTTTGTATGCTTTGAATTCAATATGTCTGGTTCAGTGGTGTTATTCATGGGTCAGTCGAATTCTTTTAGTGGGGCCATGGGAAACTGCGACGCCTGCCTATTGTGTCTTCACCTGAAGTTCAGACATCATGTTTGCCAGTTCTGCTGGATGCTTGTTCAAAACGCCAGCTTGCATCTGTCCCGGGTTCCCATGCTTTGAAAAAAAAAATTTTTCATGGTGTTTTTTTTCCCTTGTTTATTGTATTTAAAAAATAAAATACTTTTGAAAGCGAGGGCGCCTGGAGCGCGTTGTTCTGAAGCACGGAGCCTGTCCGAGTTGCCACGATGACTTTTCAGCGGGTACATTCCGGCCTCGTCATGCCGATGTTTTCATTAATGAGAACATCTGGGCGAGACAGCCGGGATGTCAGGTCGATACTGTCTCTTTCCAGCAGGGGGCCTTGTGAGACCCAGGTCGGCGAACTGTACAGTGATCGCCTGTTGACAAAAATGAAAAAGTGTTAAACCTTCTTCTTCAGCATGCTATTTGCCTGGTTTGGGGAACTGCTAGCTGCAGTTCAGCACTAACTTACCATCGCGGTGCCTACCGGCAGAAAAGAGCTGCCCTTTCAAATTTGTGTGAAGATCTTTCAATGGGATACAATACCATTCTGGTTATTTTGTTTATTTTTCATACATCTGTTTCACAGATAGTATGATGTGGTGGACTATCAGGACTATCGCCACCACTTGGCAGTTGACTAAATATCTTGGCAGAGCTAGGAATCATTTATGGGAATAAATTAACTTTTTTTTCAGTACTGTAAGCGAAAACTTTTATAAGCAAAGTCTTATAATATATGGTTAATCATTCTCCTGTCTGTCCAACAATGTGTTATAGTCCCCTGTCACAGCAGTAAAAAAAAAAACCCATAAACTTTCAAGTGGAGAATGAAACGTCTGTGTAGACGTAGATGGACCCAATCTGGAAAACTAACCAAGACTTTGACAGCATGAACACACTGCTTTTGTCTTTTGAGTGAACTTTGAGAAACACAGCGGGCCTGGATAACTTGTGTGGGTTATTTATTTCTGATTTCCCAACCCTGGCTCATGGCTAACTGCCCATATGTGCCATATACTGTATATATATGATATACATTTGTGTGACTGTAAAATGAGACTGCTTTTAGCGAAGTGGAAGTAAACTAAAAGTTCATGCATTAAGTAGCATTTCAAATGCATTTCATAAACAGATCAAATTCTGTTTTTTGCGAGCGAGTAGTGAATCCACACTCATTTCCTGGCATATCAGTTCACCTACGGCATATGATTGTTGAATATTCACAGACTTTCCTGACCGGCTCTTGCTCAGGACAGGACACCAGGTGAGATCATTGTGCCCCGAATGCGATACTGATCGTATGTGATCTTATTGAGCTGATGTTTATTCAGATGATAACCTTCTGGGAGAGAACTGTATGTTGTGCTACTGAAGTTGTGGCCTGCGCTTGGAGAGTTCTGCTGATGAGGCTTGCTCCATTTATTGTCTATATTCTGATGAACCAACATCCTTATCTGTCCTCCACGTCATGGAGAGAGGAGACGTTCTCCATGCTGCATGTGTGCAACAATTAAATCGGTCCTGTTTTGGCCACACTATCTGTAACCTGGTCCACTTATATTACAGAATAGAGAGCAAACCATATTCACAAGAATCAAGTTACTAGTACCCCCGTCAATGGTGGAACTGTTGGGTCAGATAATGGAAAGGTAACCGAGGGCCTCAAACGGTTTAATGATGAATAATTGCACAATAATCCAGCTGTTTGTGGAACATATTGAGAACTTGACCCTATCACTATGCAGCTTATTTACAGCTCTGGGTGTACCGTATCCATCACCCCCTGAATATATGAAATACAAATATTTTAAAACCCTGTTTGGGTTAATCATCAGATGATAGCGATCTTGCGCAAACAGGCACAAACCAAAGGAAATATCATTTCAAAAATATCTCCGAAAAGGCAGATTTCTAATGTTTCCTACCAAATCCATTTATGTATGGCATAACCACTATTTAAAAGGAGGTTGTCAGACAGAGCCCTACAAATCGTTTGCAGGTTCAGAACAAGAAGGACTTTACATTTAAAGCAAACATGGCATCAGGTAAGGATTTTCAATTTGATTGATCTTTTTTATTGAGCGTTGGAAACAGTTTTACTGATGAAATATGGAAATTACATGGTGATGTCTCTGTTATTCTGACAAGTAACAGTAAAGGAGTATGCAATAAATAGAAACACTTCTAAAAAAATGACAAGACAGCTACTGCCTTGACTTCTCTGCAATTTGCATGCTCATCGGAAACGTCACCGTCAAGTAGGGCCCATCTATGGAGGAGCGTAGTTGGAGCAACTCAACCTAACTAATTTATTGCTATTGTGTCTTTATGCCTGTATTTTCCACTCCAGGCTTTTTGCTGTGTCCGGTTCTGCTCGCTGTCTTTTTCATGTCACCAGTGGAAGTGGGAGCATTTCCACTGTACAGCCTCTTCACCAATGCAGTGATGAGAGCACAGCACCTCCACCAGCTTGCGGCTGATATTTACAAAGATTTTGTGAGTCGGCAATTGTTTTAGTTCTTCTATTCAACAGAGGCTGTTAACATCTCTATCATCCCCTCTAATATTTCAATCCTTGTGATTGCACACCTATGTCTGAGCCCTTTTCTTGAAGCAGCTCAAGCTGATGCTTCTCCGAATATAGCAATTCTGTCTGGATTCTAGCATGTTTTAAAAATGTATATTTTCTCACATCTGTACAGGAGCGCACCTACGTGCCAGAAGAGCAGAGACAGTCAAGCAAAAGTTCTCCATCCGCCATATGCTATTCTGAGTCCATTCCTGCACCCACTGGCAAAGACGAAGCTCAGCAGAGATCTGTAAGTTGTTACATCTCCTCTTCGTCCCTCTTCGCCTGTGACTGGAAGGTTGCCGGTTCAAATCCCACAGCTGGCAGAGGAATCCTACTCTGTTGGGCCCCTGAGCAAGGCCCTTAACCCCAACTGCTCCAGGGGTGCTGTATACATGGCTGACCCTGCACTCTGACCCCCAGCTTCTCTCCCTGTCTGTGTGTCTCATGGAGAGCAAGCTGGGGTATGCGAAAAGATTAATTCCTAATGCAAGAAATTGTATATGGCCAATAAAGTGATCTTATCTGACCCCCTGAGTCTGGGCTAACCTCTGTGTTGCCCTCCTTTACCGCTACGCATAGGGTCTTTATTGCTCAGCTGGCCATTCCACGGCTTGCCCTTCTGACATCCATGACAGGTTTGCCATAGGGAATATCTCACAATATCTTCATGCTTTTTCTGCTTACATATTTTATCGCTGACAGGATTTCCTGGGAGTCTGACTTACACCAATCCATCTTGGGATTGTCCTTGGAATCACGGTCGCTCTCTTTCAGCTTCGAGACACGGTTTAGGGATATGCAGAAAGATAACATGTACATCTCCGCGTGCGTGTCTATTCAGCACATGGATTTTTTTTTTTATTGCTCCATTTTCCTTCCAGGATGTGGAGCTGCTGAGATTCTCCCTGGCTCTCATCCAGTCCTGGATCAGCCCTCTGCAGACTCTGAGCCGGGTGTTCTCCAACAGCCTAGTCTTCGGCACTTCCGACAGGATCTTTGAGAAGCTGCAGGACCTTGAGCGAGGGATCGTGACCCTCACAAGGGTAAGAGGAAGGAGAGGCTCTGCTTAAATCCTGTAGAGAATGCACGCTTCTGAAATATTTTCAGCAATTTGAACCACTGAGTAAAGCCAAACATCTATGCTTGTGCCCACGATAATTCAGTAAGTGTTTTAGCACAAATGAAGTACAATTACTGCACATCCTCAAGGATGCATACAGGGAAAGTACAAGGGAGAGCACTTAGTGGGAAAACTGTATTGAGATTACTGGCAGAGATGAGACCTTGACTTGGAATTGGACAGGAAAGCTGATGTTTCCCTGTAAATGCTCTGAAGAAGGGGTGAGCAACGGATTTGTATTTGCAAATTCCAGCTTCGTCCAGTGACTTTCATCAGTGCTTTTTTCACAGGGACGTCCGAAAGTCCCTAGAGGCAAGCTTCTCCTCAAATCTTATGCAATCCTAACTGTACGTATATGTATAAGATATTTTTTTCTTCTTTTTTTAAAAGGAAATTGATGAGGGAAGCCCCAGAATTGCAGCCTTCCTGACTCTCACGTATGAGAAGTTTGACACCAACCTGAGAAACGACGACGCTCTGATGAAGAACTACGGGCTTTTAGCTTGTTTCAAGAAAGACATGCACAAAGTGGAGACTTATCTGAAAGTGATGAAGTGCAGACGCTTTGTGGAGAGCAACTGCACTCTGTAGAGAAGACCAACAGCTGCACAGCTGCAGTGAGGCCCTACCCAGAAGCCATTAATGCAAAAAAATAGTGATTTCTAGCTTTGCTCTTTCGTATCAGTCATAGCAATCAAAATGGATTAGTTATTCTGGTAGTCATGATGAAAAAAACAGACGTTTTGCTTGCCAAAATCAGTTCTGTACAGCATGTATTTTCTGTAAAACAAAAGTACACAGGAACTATATTTTAGAAAAAATACAGTTAAAATTATTTAAAAAAACAGTTTTCTAATTTCTTTGCAAATTTCCCCTCTGATGCATTTTGTTCTGATTTGTGAGGTTTTGCAGCTGTAATTCCACCTAGAGAACAAGCTGCTCTAAGGCTAAATTAAACCAGGCGTGAAATGTGGATGTCAAGGATGTTTCTGAGCTGGAAGGAGAAATTAGACTCTAGTTTTCATATTCCTTTTAAAAGAACACACATACCAATTCAGTTGATGGGAATAAAGGTTTTGATGGGTCAGTCAGCTCAGGAGGTTTGCCTGGCACCCTTACAGTTAAATGGAAAAAAATGAAGACTGGAAAGCAACAGGAGAGACATAACAACTGCCCGCCTCTGCTGTGTGGGTAAGATGGCTGATCTGTTGCTCAGCCAGACTAGGAACTGATTTAAAGAACCGATAGCAAAACGATCAGATCAACTTTGGCTCGCACTGCCGAAACTTGTCATCACATTTTTCACGTGATCTTCATCCTATTGAAAATACATACGGGTCACAGGTAGGATCCCAGGCACATAACCCTCCCAAACACACATATTTATACCCACACTTTTAAGTTAGTTTTTAAGACAGCGTCTCCGTGTTCCCCCACCCTCAGATATTAGAAAGAAAACTTTGAATGCACTCGAATGTTCTGTACATCTTTTGGGCCAAAGTCTCCTTGAAATTTCTGTATATAGTGTTCAATTGCATTCATTTGAAGGAATTTAATTAAACGTGTTTTTCTGGTAGATCTTGAAACTCTTCGACACCTGTATGTAAGCATTTATTTTATCAATAAAATTGAAGTATTCTGCAACAAACATGCTTTGAACGGCTCTCAATATCTACAGCTTATTAGTGCTTTGGTTTTACTGTATGTATACCGATTCCTTGATTTGGGGGGTTAAAGTTTTACAAAAGTGCCTTGTGGTACTTTGTGGGTAAACGCAGGATGAGTGTTTTATGCTCAGAGCGGACTACGGCGACCCTCATGTACATGAGACAAGGAAATAAAAGATATGTGCCGCAAAAAAAAAAAAGATGTGGCGCAAACTAAAAAGATGATGTACGAACTTAAAACAGCGGATTTATTTGCTTGTCTTTTGCACTTCAATGTTAAAACATCAGAGTTTGAACATCAGAGCAGGGCTGTAGTAGAACACGATTTCCAAAGCACAAACACGGAAAGCAATGAAATTGAACGGTAAGGGCGATGTTCAAAACCCTGAAAAAAAATTGTGAAACAATTCTAAACATATCGTGAAAATTCAAGAAAGAATGATTTCATAAGGGCAATCTGGAAAAGGGGCGGATTGCTAGAGACGCTTGCTTCTAAGAGAAGAATTGTACGATTGCGCGATTATTTTAACACTGGTCCTAATTGCGTTGTTTTCATAGGTGATTTCAGAGGTCAGAAAACATTACTTCTAATAAACACGGTCGCCATTATCAAGTCTCGATGTTTCACTGGGGGAAAACTACCCACTGGAGAGAGAAAAATGGACATTTCATTGACGTGTCCAGCACCACAGTTGAGAGCTGTCGCTTCTTTCTTGAGGGCTTGGGAGTTCAGTGCTGCAGTTATTTTACAAGTACTGTTATTTTCTTGTCTGTCAATCGAATTAAATCTCCTGCCCGGAGTGTTTGAAGCCTCGCTTCTGGCTCTCTGAAATCGCATCGCGCTCGATCGCATGGCTTTGGCGTCAGGATAATGTGCTGAAGACACAGCCGCTACTCGAGAGAGCCCACGCCGTTTCGCTCAGATATCTAGGAAGACGCAGCGATCTGCGCAGAAGTAATGAGCTGAGTACAGTCGTTTTGGGCGACACCTCGAAGTTTCTATTTTTACACGCCTGCCGGGACAGCTGCCCAACACCGTGGCTGCAGGCTGCTCCCACTGGCTGTTCGGCTGTAGTAACTCTTTCAAAGCCTCTGGTGCCATTAACTCAGCATTTTTACAACAGTCTTGATGCCTACATGTTAAGCAGTCTATATACATTTTAAGCGCTCCGGTATGAATATTGAGGTGCTGCTTTAAACGTTAAAATCAATACTTATTTCATTTGGTTTAACTGATTTTTGTAAACGCAATACCGATTCAAGTTCAACAGGTAGGCACTAACCATGTTATAATCCAACAAGCGTCCCTAGAAATGTCAGTTTGTACAGTCCTAACATTAGTTTATATTTTACACGATATAACTGTATTTTTAAAATGATACCAAAATGGATTTCTCCATTTTTATCGTAATGTGAAGAACACTACGTACTGTAGTTATTCTGAATCACGTTCTTCCATTACAAACCAAGCATGCTGCCCCCTGGCGGCAGACCGCGCTTGAAACACTCGTCGCGCATGATGACGTATGTTTAGCGCCAAATCCAAATTTCGGCCCAGTCAGGAAGAAGGCTGCACTGTCTTGTTTCCATTCTAGGTGATGTTGGTGTTCAGTTTGTTGCGGTTCGTAATGAATAAAAGCGCCATGGTCTGTGTCTGCATTCTACAGTAAAACTCAAACATAGCTGTATTGTCCGTTTAAAGGAAGTACAATGGAAACTGAAGTGGATATTGTGGAGTTTAAAGTGCCCGTTGAAAACGACAAAACCTTGTTTATCTGGAACATTTTGCCTACATTTTCTGAAGCCTACATTTACGTGAGTTGTTTGTTTTTTTTTTCCGGGAAAGTATAGGTCACGCACCATAGTTCATAAAACAACTGTTCTTGCGTTTGAATGCAAAAAGGGAGAATGGTGCCGATATTAATGAGACCTTGTGCTTCATGTTATGGTTCAGTAGGACCGAGCATGATTGTGAACTGTGTTGTAAGCTAATGTCCTACGTTGACTGTTGTTTTATTCCGTTACGCGGTTTAAAATATTTCTGAGTTATGTAGGATTCTCAATTTCAGACTGTAGATAGGTATATTAACGTCAAACTTTCTTTGTTTTCTGATCGGTTACGGGATAGCGTGACTAGTGACAAGGGGAGAGAGAGGGAGAACGCAGGAGGTGTCGATGTGACTGTTCAGAAATAAACTGTGCGAAGAATATCCGTCTCCATCCAGTTCCTGTCCTTACAGGCAGAGTGTTAAACCACCATCGCTTGAACCCTACAGTTACAGTGTTCTTGCATGGCGGGTAGCACAGTCTCTCACATCTGATGGTGGAGAATGGGGCTCTAGACTCTAGGAGTGCTCACCTGCACACGTCTCTGACGGTCATTGATTGGCAATGAAAATGTTCAGAAGTCCTCATCCCTGTTGTTTGAAGTTTTTGCTTTTTGTAGCCGGGCTTCAGAATATATTTTAGTTTATGTTTCATATTAAAGATTATGTTTTGGGCAAGTACCTTTTCATACCCTTTCATTAGGGCGGAGCGGTGGCTCTGTGGCTCAGGATCTGCGCCTGTGGCTGGAAGGTTACTGGTTCGTATCCCATGGCCGGCGAGGAATCCTTCTCCGTTGGGCCCCTGAGCAAGGCCCTTAACCCCAACTGCTCCAGGGGCGCCGTATACATGGCCGACCCTGCGCTCTGACCCCCAGCTTCTCTCCCTGTCTGTGTGTCTCATGGAGAGCAAGTTGGGGTCTGTGAAAGGACAAATTCCTAACACAAGAAATTGTTTATGGCCAATAATGTGATCTTATGCCTAGCATCCATTAAAGTCATATGTGTTCTGCTGTGGGGTGTCCAATGGTCGCTGCTTTCTGTTCATGGACAGGATCGCATTTTTAAACACTTCTCCGTCTTCGGCGCCCTGTTCTCCTTGCGGGTCCGTGCCAACGCCTCGGTGGCTGAGCCCGGATTCTACGCCATTGTCAAGTTCTTCTCCGCCGCACAGGCCTGCTGGGCGCAGGAGGCGACGGATGGGAGGGGGCTGTTTCAGGACAAACCCTTAAAAGTAGGTTTCTCGCAAAGCTGTGGTGATT